AAAGAAAGCATCTGCAACAGAGATTTGTTCGAAGAAGTCTAAGAAGATAAGAGAAAGAGTAAATTGGGTTCTCACCTAATAAATTTTTGGATAAGAGTTATAAATGGAATGGCATTGTTAATGTCGGCGCCTGTTTCATTTATTTTGGATAGAGAAATTTAGCCCCACTATACTATACTACTTCCATTTTTATCATTTATTGATTCCCATATCCTTTTTTTCTTACTTTTACCATTACATTCTTAAATCTTTTCTGACATTGGAAGTTTTGATTTTAGTTCTGTTGTGTGTTTGAATTAAAAGGAAAATAAAATATTACTCTTCCACATATTACTTTTCCTGAAAAGAGTTGTTAGTATATTACCGTGAATATTGAAAAGAGTTGTGTTCCACTTCCACATATCTATTTTCGACAAAAAAAAACTTAAGGTTTCCTTGGACCTGACAAAAAGCATAATGATTCTTAAATTTTTCATACATATATCATTGGTCCAATCTAACGGCCTTTTTCTTAACTTTTATTTTTAACCAGACAATTTGAGTCTTTTGGTTCATAACCTTTTTAGGTATGAAACCAGTTTTCGATGATTATCATATATAGCACCTACAACGAATTTGAAATCGATAGCAACGTGACAAAATATTAATCTTCAAATTGGTTCATAAAGTTATAGGGAACTTTTGAAAAATAAATGAATACAAACAAGTTTTGTAGGGCTATCAAAAGTAGTATTAACTATCTGTATATTACATTATATTTCTTAATAACAATATGAAAAACTAAGGTAATGGTCGACAGACTCGGTCTTTTATCGTTTTCTGCTGTCTAGTTTCTCTACTTTCTAGATTATCGTTTTGGCTTTGTGATTCTATAAAAAAAGTCAACCTTTGTTGTGGTGTCCTCCTATTTCCTTGTAGACTTAGAGGTTACTTCAATATTTGTTTTCTCTGCACAATCCGATGACAACGGGATACGATCCACAAATCAAATCAAATCAAATCATTCGAGTCTTCTTCACATATTACACAAATTCGATTATGTGTTGACTCTTTAATAGAGTCAATAGTTTGGACCACTACATGGTTTGTAAATGTTTATTTATATCTCAAATGGCTGTTACCTAAAATTCAGGACATGAACAAAAACCATCTTACTAAAAAAAGTCAAAAATAAAGTTTCAAATGTATAAAAGATAATATTGGAGGTCAACTCTCATTTGAAAACCTTCATATATATATATATATATATATATATATATATATACTAGATGTTAACCCGCGGTACACCGCGGGCCTATATTTTTGTTAAATATAAATTAAAAGTTTAATTTATTAAGATTATCTACAGATATAACCTATTGTTTTGTTTGATTTAAATATATTATATATATATATATATATAGTGTACGCTTAGTATGTTGTAGGTTTCAATTTTAAGATATAGAAACGAAAACATACAGTTCATTAAGCAACTCTATATAGCAGATTTGAATATGAATTTATTTTGTTGTTTGCATTTTAGGGACTGACCTGTGGTACGCCGTGGATCGATTTCTTATAACTAAAAATTTTAAAGTAAGTTGTATTTGTTTTGTTAATATTATTTGTTTGTTTATTGTTTAAAATTGTATTATTGTAGTCCCATATTAATATCTAACAATACCCATCATACCATAGAACATGTCTCGTGAAATTAAACATCATTTTATCAGTTTTAATAATATTTTATTTAAAAAACATATAATCCGAGTCAATTTAAAAGTTTGCTTTAAATAGAATTTAAATATATATTTAATTGTTGTAGAGTTCAAATATTATTAATATTATAAACTTTTTATAGAATTTAAATATTGTAAATGTTTTATAAAATTAAATATCTATAATGTTTAAATTTCTTATAAATTTTTATAAAGTTTAAATATTTATAATATTTGAAACTTCATAAAAGTTCTAATATTATAAATAATTTATGCATTTTATAAAGTTTAATTTTTTTAAAAGTATAAACAATTATCATATTTAACTTTTAATAAAGTTTTTATATTTATAATAACTTGAAACTTCTTCAAAGTTTCAATTTTTAAAAATAAATAACCGGAGTAAACCGGATAACAATTTTATATTGGTGAGATTTAAAATTATTTCTCATACTAAAAGATATATATTAATTTACTGACACCACAAATACCATAGCTTAATCTTGTGGGATAAAATAAAATGTTCAATGTTATGTTCTCTAAATCTTTAAATATAAATTCTGAAAACTCTGGTTACTATGTTATGGTGCAAGTAACGTTAAATAGAAAAATAATGATTTGCCTTTCATGTATTTAGTATGCATATTTTGTGGTTTCTATTCAGACAATTATTTTGTCAAACAACCGACAACCATAAAACTTAGTGAGAGAAAAATAAAATAATAAAAAAATCAAAATGTAAAATTTTAATAGATTATCTATATATATATAATCTATTGTTTTGTACAATTACAATGTTTTAAGTTTCACGTTTTGTACAATTACAATTACAATTACAATGTTTTGTACTAATACTACAACTTATTTATAGTACTAAAACTACCCAACCCCATATAAATAAAATTGGGCCTAAATAATTTGTCAAACCAATCCATCACATACAACCCAAATATTTTGTCTAACCCACGAGGCCACGACACAACCTAACCTAGATCTAAAACTATTTCTCTCCGACCACTCTCCCACCATTAGCCGACAAAAGCAACCGCCTCCGGTCGTATCCACCACCGTCGCAACCCATATCTCACCGCAACTGTCACACCGTTCCCTTTACTCATCCACCAAGCTGAAGCTCTATTACCCACCGACCACCGTTGCACCAACAACTCACCGTCGCCGTCACAACCATTCCCTACCTGTACACAACATCACCTGAAGCTCGATGACAAACCGTTGCAACAATCTCTCCCTTCGACATCTATATTCACCAGAGACTCAAAAGTAGCAGCCATATGAAGACGAAAAAGGTGTGTTTAATGGTTTTTTGTAAATCGTGGCTTATTTGTGTTTGATGATGTTAATTGACGTTTAGGTGTAGAGTATTTATAGGGTCAAAATTAGGTCACTAATCCCTATCACTTCACGCAAAAAATATTCGATGTAGCAACAAATTAAAGATAAAATCTTTGGATTCGTTAGTATTTTGGAATATGCCAAGATTTTAATTTTTAAGAGTCAAAATTTTGTTTCTTTAAATCGATTTTGTAGAGATATTGCGGAAAAAAAATCTCCGAAAATGAAGGTGGTGAGTATAATTAGTTGAAAGATGAATCCGAAAATGAATGTGTTGATTAATTAGTTGAAATACGAAATCTTGGAATATATATTTTAGAAAGAAACCATAGAGATTTTTATGGAGAAGAGTCATAACTTTGTTTCTTAAAATCGTTTATTTACAGATATTGTAGAGAAGAAAAATCGGAAATGGTATGTTGTGAGTCAATAAATGATTGAAGAAATCTCGGGTATTAGAGGCAATATCTCAGTTTGAATTTAAGACAACTTTCCTATAATTTCTTATCCAAGATCCGGATAGAGTTAAACCCGGGTAAAATCCGGATCCAAATGAATTAATGCAAAAAAACCCTGTAAAAATATATATGTAGATATATATATATATATATATATATATATATATATTGTTCTAAATTGCTATTATTTTCTATTTACTGTGTTCCCATTATGTTTCGTGAACACATGAAGTTATGGACCTTATGGTATTGAATAGGATGAATTTTCTTTTAGTTTTTGGTTTAAAAATCATTCTATTGATCAAGTTCTTGAAATAATAAAAAATTTACTAACTAAAAAACTTGTGACAGCATGCTTATATTCGCACAACGATTGCAATCATAACTGGCTACTGTAGACGATTTAAATGATAAGAATATCCAATTCTTCTATCTATGTTTTGGAGTGTTTATATTCTTTTTACTTGAAAATTTCCGATTTATAAATAAAGAAGACAACTCAAAGCAAAAAAAAAAAAACAATTCTTTTACACCTGAGATCTGAAGTTCTTTATATTAAATACATGTCTTTAATTAATAATAGATTCCATATGAAAGAATTAAAGAAAGTAAGATAAAAAAAGGGCCCATAGTAACCTTTTCTTTAGCTATCTTTTAAGATTGATAATTGATTTTGTTGTTGTTGTATCTAACTAATAAAGTTCGTAGCCAGCGGTCTTGCAAAGTCGTTTCACACACTCACACATGCAATCACATTTACAACTTTAATACTACCATGAAAGCATAAACTAAAGCAATCAAATTAAAATATTTGCATGCGCGTACTTCATTACGCGGTCGAGCATTTATCGTTACATATGGTGATATGGAGGAAAATTTACGCAATGGACCTATCAAAGTATAACTTGAGAAATTTTCATTTTTTTATTTGGTTATAAGCTGAAACAAAGTCATGTTGAAGATGACCATTCCTGATATAGTCAAACCTTAATATAACTATTAAAAAAAAAAAAAAACAAATAGAAAATCTGTTTGACCAAGACACAAAATATTTCACCACGAAATAGAATTGGAATTCGGAGCATATACATAAACGCAGAATAAAAACCAGACTCATTCAACTTTGATTTTGGTCATATTAGTTCTCAGGTCTAGATTTAGTTTTTAATTTTCATATTTTTCTCTGGTTCGAGCGAGAAGAATAATTTGTTTTTGTGTTCACTAAATTTTTCTTGACAAAACACATAAAGCAGGAATAAATGTCAATCATAATTGAGTCCTTAGTATTTCACATTAACTCCAATTCTTGCATTGAGAGAGTCAACCAAGTTGCGATATTGGAGGATTAGGTTTGTGTTTGGCTTTTGACCTTTTCTTCTCTCGCTTTTAATTACTTAGGCTTTACGTCATTATGTCATAAGCACAAATAAAAACTTCAGACAGAAACACCTGTAGTAAGTTCAAAATTACTTAAATAATCACACAAAACCACATATATAAAAGCATTTCCGAGCTAGAATTTCATATAAATTCTTACTAAAGAATCTGAAGATTAAGGTCTGAGACAGAACATAACTCACAATGACTCAAACATGATGAGACAAAGAAAAGAGACATAAGACTGTAACGACTAACGAGTAAACAAATGATAAAGAGTATTCAATCCAAACTCACACGACGATGGTTGCGTGATGTTGCTGGTTATTACCCGAAAGAAACCTCAAAAGCTGTCTATATCCGCTTTTGTAATGATCCAGAGAGAAACAAAGCTGTCTAATCGCCTCTCGTTTCTCTTCCTCTCCTTCTGATATCGCATTCCTCTGCAACTCTGCTTGCTTCTCCAGTTCCCACACCGTAGCTCTCAGTTCCTCCACAGTTTTCTTAGCCTTACTCTGCATCTCTGCTTCATTCTCCAGTTCTTTAACCACAGCTTTCAGTTGCTCAACAGTGTTCTTGGCATTTCTTGATTCAGACACAAGCTCGGTCTGCTTATAGACCAGTTGGTTAAGTTGCTCCTCCATTTGCTGAATTTGGATGTCTCTTGATCTCATCTCTGCTTTTAGATTGTCTACTTCAGCATAGACTCCATCTTTCTCTGCCATTAACATGTCGTACCTCAGCTTGTGCTTGTCGAAATCTTTGTTTAATGCTTCAATATGCTCACCACGTGTAGCCAAATCTGTCTTCAATGCATTGATTTCAGCTTGCAACTCAACCTCTTTTCTCTGCATCTCCATTTTCTCTGCCTCATAATGCTTAATCTGATCTTCCAATACCTCACCGTGTGATTCGATTTCTCTGACCGGAGCTTTAAAGGAAGTCTTGTTCTCTAACAAACCAGCAATATCAGTCTGCAATTTTGTTATCTCAATAGAAAAACTTTGCTGACAATCACACAACATTTCCCTTAGCTTGGAGATCTCAGCATATGACACATCTAAACAGTCCCTACTCACCTCAAGTTCAGTTTCCAAATCAACCACCTGTCTTTGCACCTGGAGAACTCGTCTTCTCTCAGCCTCAATAGCTATGTCCCTAGTCTCAATTTCTCCCTGAGCAGTTTCAAGCTCAGCACATAGATTCTCGGTAAGCAGAACATCAGATTCTTTCTTCTTGGTCTCACCCTTAAGCTTCTCAATCTCTTGTTCAGATTCTTGGAGCTTCAAACTCGTAGTCCTTAGCTCTTCCTCACACTGGACATATTTCTTCATCAAGTCATCATAATTCATTTGTTTTTCAGCAGCTAAGTCATGGCTATCCATTGCCCCTGGTGAGACCAGGTGATGGTTAAGAGATGAGTAAAAGGCCTCTGTTTCCGAATCTAACTCGGAATAAGAAAAGTCGGAATCATGATCCATTGTATCAGACTTGGGAGTTACAGGAGGAGAAGATCCATTGTGGTCTGAAACTTGACAATTGATATGTCTAATAAGACTTTTATGTTTGAAGAGAAACACAAACAACCAAGATACATGAATGAATTATACGATTATACCTGTTGAGATTTCCACAAAAGAATTAGAATTATGTGGTGAATCTTTCGTGACTTCAACTGTTGTAAAATCCATCTACACTTAAACGAAAGAAAACTAATCAAGATCAAGGAAAAAATCAAACTAACGAGAACATGATGATGTAATAGAAAAACCCTATAAGTACAGAAGATAAGAGATTAAGATAGAGAGATATACGAGATATGAAAAGATATTTTTTGTTTTTGTTTTGATACTCCTAAGATTTAGCTATAACTAAATGTATTTATATTATCTCTAGCTACAACAATTGTCATTTAAAATTTTCCAAAAAACAAATTAAAAATTGTGATAATAAACTATCATGAAGAGCTAACTAATCGAAATCTCAGGAATAAAAAACTAGGGTTTCGTAAATGTTAAGACTTTCTTCTTCTATGTAACAAAATTGTACTTTTTCACTACATGTAAACAGAAATAATAACTATAGTTTGCAACAAGAAAAATAAACTTTTGAACAAATTTGATCACCAGATGAAGAAAATAGAAGAACCCTTCATAAATCTCAGAAAAACAGAGTAAGTAACTCAGATCATAAGATCTACAAAACCCATCAACAGAACAAGCAAAGATCTAACCCTGAATTACGTAGGACCAAATAAACATGAGATTCACTGACCTTGAAAAATTGATCTGATCGAGGGAACAAAAGAGCAGATTAACAGGGAAAGTGATGGGGAAACAAAGGAAGGTTTAAGTAGAGGATTCTAGGGTTTGAGAGTTACGAAGCAGAATGTGAAAAGGTATAAAGGGACGGACGACAAAGAGGAGGGAAGATTTGTCGAGTAGCGAAGAGAAAGTGGCGCTCTTTGGGATTCAAATGTTTGCCATTTTCTTCTTTTGTTTATCTGACAGTCTGTTCTTTGCTGCCCAAGTGGCCACACATCTTCACATGCACCACCCGTTTATCAAGTTTGACCTATTAATTATTGGGTTCGGTTCTATTTAGTTTTCTCTCGTAAATAACGTAAACCGAACATATATATATATATACCAATTTTGTCTGCAAAGTGCAACAAACCCATTTTGTCGATTCTGTTGGGCTTTGATGATACTGACGTTGGACCTTTGCTTTTCGGCCCGCTGGTTTTAGCCTATATTGATATTTGATACTACTAGTAAGTAAAGTATCACTATCAATAATATATTTTAGACTAATCCGTTGATTAATTTTTTTTGTCGGCAAATATTTTTTGAGTTTTATAGGTAAGAAAGTAAGTGACGATGAATATCCTTTAACCCCACTACTTGTGCTTTGTTTTGTTCTTCACACTACTATTTTAGTATCACTATCAATTAATATTTTGATTTAGTCACTGTCTAGACTAATTCGATGATCTAATAATTTTCCTATATATTTTCAAGATTTATCGGCCATTTTCACTTTTTTACAGTCACAGTAAACTGTAACTAAAAAAAATCGACTGTGGAAGTTGTCGGTGGTGGTGGTGGTTGTTGCTTGGTTGGATTATGATTTGTGACAAATATATTAATATTTTAAAAATCAGAAAGAGTGACGAGCAGAGAGACAAATAGCTTGCTCTTTGCATCCTCTAAAGATTCTCCTCTTCGTCTTCCTTACTTATACATATCTCTCTGTAGAGAAGAAAGCTCGGATCCAGAAAGAGAGAGATTCAGAAAGTCACATCACCACTCCATCTTCAGATCTCATGGTAACTCTTCTTCACTCATGATGATCCATTCTCAGATTTGACTTCCTTTTACTCGGATCTCCTCAGATCTAATCGCGTTTACTGTTTTTGATAAATCCGAGCAGATTTGAACTATTTCGACGTTTCGGTGTTGGAAGCAACTAAGTGACGACGAATGGAATCCGAAGGAGAAACCGCGGTATGCTTTTGACTCTTAGCTTCATCATCATACTTCCTTTATCGAAATCAGGAATTATAGATACTGAAGTTGATTGATTTGGTTGTTTAATTGCGTATTGGAGAGATCTGGTTGCAATTTTCTGTTAAGGTTTCTAATTTTGGCTACTTGATTCGACTTAATTGTAGGGGAAGCCGATGAAGAACGTTGTTCCGCAGATTTGCCAGATCTGTAGTGACAATGTTGGCAAGACTGTTGATGGAGAGCCTTTTGTGGCTTGTGATTTTTGTTCATTCCCAGTTTGTCGGCCTTGCTATGAGTATGAGAGGAAAGATGGGAATCAATCTTGTCCTCAGTGCAAAACCAGATACAAGAGGCTCAAAGGTTTACTTTTGATCTCACTATTACTGAAATTTGATCCATTAACTGTCTTCATTGTTCATCGATAGTTTATCAGTATGTTTTGAATTTGTGGTATTTATAGCAATTTGCTAATTTCTGATTCTAGGTAGTCCTGCTATTCCTGGTGATAAAGACGAGGATGGCTTAGCTGAGGAAGGTACCGTTGAGTTCAACTACCCGCAGAAGGAGAAGATTTCAGAGCGGATGCTTGGATGGCATCTTACTCGTGGGAAAGGAGAGGATATGAGGGAACCCCAGTATGATAAAGAGGTCTCTCACAATCATCTTCCTCGTCTCACAAGCAGACAAGATGTAAGGCATTGTTGTTCATTCTTCCCTCTTAAGCATTTGCAACCTCTCGCGTAATTGAGTTTTGGAATCTGATTTTGTCATTTGTTTATTTACAGACTTCAGGAGAATTTTCTGCTGCCTCACCTGAACGCCTCTCTGTATCTTCTACTATAGCTGGTGGAAAGCGCCTTCCCTATTCATCAGATGTTAATCAATCACGTAAATATCCTTATTTTCTTACTATCCGGCCAACACATTTACTCGTACCGAGGCTTTTCGTTTGTGTCAAAACTCTAAACAATAAAATCTGTTGTTGTCATTCTCGCTGCAGCAAATAGAAGAATTGTGGATCCGGTTGGACTAGGGAATGTAGCTTGGAAGGAGAGGGTTGATGGCTGGAAAATGAAGCAAGAGAAGAATACTGGTCCTGTGAGCACGCAGGCAGCTTCTGAAAGAGGTGGAGGAGATATTGATGCCAGCACAGATATCCTCGCAGATGAGGCTTTGCTGTGAGTTCATGTTCTGTTATCTCGTTTGGCAGTCGTGGGTCCTGTTCTGCTTCAGGGTTATGACATTGCACAATCTGAGCATCTTTCCTATTAAGCAATGTCCTGATGCTTATTTTACAATTTTATTTATTTTGCAGGAATGATGAAGCGAGGCAGCCTCTGTCAAGGAAAGTTTCAATTCCTTCATCACGGATCAATCCTTACAGAATGGTTATTATGTTGCGACTTGTTATCCTTTGTCTCTTCTTGCATTACCGTATCACAAATCCAGTGCCAAATGCCTTTGCTCTCTGGCTGGTCTCTGTGATATGTGAGATTTGGTTTGCCCTATCCTGGATTTTGGATCAGTTTCCCAAGTGGTTTCCTGTGAACCGCGAAACCTACCTCGACAGGCTTGCGTTAAGGTAAATTATATTTCCCCATTCTTCTGAAGCATTATTCAAAGAATTGACTGCCTATAAGATTTCCCATTTTAATTTGATCATGCTCAATTTTGGGACAGATATGATCGTGAAGGTGAGCCGTCTCAGTTAGCCGCAGTTGACATTTTTGTGAGTACTGTCGACCCCTTGAAGGAGCCACCCCTTGTGACAGCCAACACAGTTCTCTCCATTCTGGCTGTTGACTACCCGGTTGACAAGGTGTCCTGTTATGTTTCTGATGATGGTGCTGCTATGTTATCATTTGAAGCACTTGCAGAAACATCAGAGTTTGCTCGGAAATGGGTACCATTCTGCAAGAAATATTGCATTGAGCCTCGTGCACCAGAATGGTACTTTGCTGCGAAAATAGATTACTTGAAGGATAAAGTTCAGACATCATTTGTCAAAGATCGTAGAGCTATGAAGGTAAGTTTGTAGTTTTCGTCATGCAGTCACCCTTACTTTCATTTCAGTATATTGCATATTGACCTTTTATTTTCTTGCAGAGGGAATATGAGGAATTTAAAATCCGAATCAATGCACTTGTTTCCAAGGCCCTAAAATGTCCTGAAGAAGGATGGGTTATGCAAGATGGTACACCGTGGCCTGGAAATAATACAAGGGACCATCCAGGAATGATCCAGGTAAGAGAAATTGGTTTAAGTATGGAAATCGAGAAGGCTCTCTCTTTCTATCTCGATCTCTTCAGAGGTTCATTGTTGAAGTGCCATTTGTTGAATGCAGGTTTTCTTAGGGCAAAATGGTGGACTTGATGCAGAGGGGAACGAGCTTCCGCGTTTGGTGTATGTTTCTCGAGAAAAGCGACCAGGATTCCAGCACCACAAAAAGGCTGGTGCTATGAATGCACTTGTAGGTTTCTGATCTCGGAATTTTGACTTGTTCTTTCTCTGAATTTTTTTTGTTAGTCTAACCTGGGTACTTTTCAAATGAACAGGTTAGAGTTTCAGCAGTCCTTACCAATGGACCTTTCATCTTGAATCTTGATTGTGATCATTACATAAATAACAGCAAAGCCTTAAGAGAAGCAATGTGCTTCCTGATGGACCCGAACCTCGGAAAGCAAGTTTGCTATGTTCAGTTCCCACAAAGATTCGATGGTATTGATAAGAACGATAGATATGCTAATCGTAATACTGTGTTCTTTGATGTAAGTCACACTTATCTATACTTGCGTCTAATTTTCTGTTCTTTCAAATTGCTTTTAGACACGAATATACATTAAACACAGTTGCTTGAGTTTTGTTGTAACTTTTTGGTGATATGTTTTCCAGATTAACTTGAGAGGTTTAGATGGTATTCAAGGACCTGTGTATGTGGGAACTGGTTGTGTTTTCAACAGAACAGCATTATATGGTTATGAACCTCCAATAAAGGTAAAACACAAGAAGCCAAGTCTTTTATCTAAGCTCTGTGGTGGATCAAGAAAGAAGAATTCCAAAGCTAAGAAAGAATCGGACAAAAAGAAATCAGGCAGGCATACTGACTCAACTGTTCCTGTATTCAACCTCGATGACATAGAAGAGGGAGTTGAAGGTACAACTGTTTTTATTTCTTCTGTGGTTTTCCGTTATACCCTTATATTGCTGTTTGAGATATTGATCCAGGGGAGGGGGTTATTTATATTTGACAGTTCATGAAGAAAAGATCTTGAGCAAAATGCTTACGTTGTCTAAATAGTTTCCAGATAGATATCTCATCATGTCTTAACTTATTTGACATTTGTAAAACTCAGGTGCTGGTTTTGATGATGAAAAGGCGCTCTTGATGTCGCAAATGAGCCTGGAGAAGCGATTTGGACAGTCTGCTGTTTTTGTTGCTTCTACCCTAATGGAAAATGGGGGTGTTCCTCCTTCAGCAACTCCAGAAAACCTTCTCAAAGAGGCTATCCATGTCATTAGTTGTGGTTACGAGGATAAGTCAGATTGGGGAATGGAGGTATTATCTCATTTTAACTCCTATATGAAACTGCAATGTTCTGACATATCCACTTTGGCACTCAGTTTGTTTGTATTCTACGCTGTCTTTCTTCAGATTGGATGGATCTATGGTTCTGTGACAGAAGATATTTTGACTGGGTTCAAAATGCATGCCCGTGGATGGCGATCCATTTACTGTATGCCAAAGCTTCCAGCTTTCAAGGGGTCTGCTCCTATCAATCTTTCAGATCGTCTGAACCAAGTGCTGAGGTGGGCTCTAGGTTCAGTTGAGATTCTCTTCAGTCGGCATTGTCCAATATGGTATGGCTACAATGGGAGGCTGAAATTTCTTGAGAGGTTTGCATATGTGAACACCACCATCTACCCAATCACCTCCATTCCTCTTCTCATGTATTGTACATTGCCCGCCGTTTGTCTCTTCACCAACCAGTTTATTATTCCTCAGGTTTGACACCTCTTTCTCTCCCGATCTTTATAACAAACCATAATTACGGTCTGCTTTATTTAAAACCATGTTATGTTTGTCATTGATTCGTGAGACAGCAAATTGAAGAGATTTACGGTTTCAAAACCTGATTAGCTGGCTCTATTGTTCCTCTTTTGCAGATTAGTAACATTGCAAGTATATGGTTTCTGTCTCTCTTTCTCTCGATTTTCGCCACGGGTATACTAGAAATGAGGTGGAGTGGTGTAGGCATAGACGAATGGTGGAGAAACGAGCAGTTTTGGGTCATTGGTGGAGTATCCGCTCATTTATTCGCCGTGTTTCAAGGTATCCTGAAAGTCCTTGCTGGTATTGACACGAACTTCACAGTCACCTCAAAAGCTTCAGACGAAGATGGAGACTTTGCCGAGCTCTACTTGTTCAAATGGACAACACTTCTGATTCCGCCAACGACGCTGCTCATTGTAAACCTAGTGGGAGTTGTTGCAGGAGTCTCTTATGCTATCAACAGTGGGTACCAATCATGGGGACCACTCTTTGGTAAGTTGTTCTTTGCCTTTTGGGTGATTGTTCACTTGTACCCTTTCCTTAAGGGTTTGATGGGTCGACAGAACCGGACTCCTACCATTGTTGTGGTCTGGTCTGTTCTCTTGGCTTCCATCTTCTCGTTGTTGTGGGTTAGGATTGATCCCTTCACTAGCCGAGTCACTGGCCCGGACATTCTGGAATGTGGAATCAACTGTTGAGAAGTGAGCAAATATTTACTTGTTTTGAGGGTTAAAAAAACACAAAATTTACATTATTTTCATTGTTTTATTTGTTCACTTTTTTACTTTTGTTGTGTGTAATTGTCTGTTCGTTCTTCTGTCTTGGTGTGATAAATTTATGTGTAGAATATCTTACTCTAGTTACTATGAAAAGTTATAATTAAAGTGAAAGCGAATATTTTTTGTTTCTGTAATGAAAATGCAAGCAGTTATGATTTTTCATTCTTCATGTCGACCTAATTTCCTTTCTAATTGGATATTGACATTTTCTGGCTTAGGGAAAAGAAGTTAACTTCAGTTCCGTTTGATCATAAGCGCTAAACTACGATACAAAGCGAAATTATTTTAACAAAAACTCAAAGAGAAACAAAATCACAGGAGGAGAATTTGATCAGACGCACTAAACTACGATTCAAAGTAATAAGATAGAAGTAGAATTGATCAAAGAAGTTTTGGTGGGAATGAGAAAATCTTATTCAGAGACATTCGAAGTAGCCTCTGAGGATGTTATGTTTTGCTGTAACTGCGGCGACTGATCACATCTCCTCACATCTTCAATCATCCTTGCAACCTCTTCCATCTTTGGCCTCGATTCTGGATTCCTTGCGACACAAGCCAACGCTAGCTGAAGCATCTGAACCATCTCCTCTTCTATGTTCTGAAACTTCAAGAGCTCTACATCGAAAACTTCTGCAGTCCACTCTTCCCTCACAACAGACCGAACCCATCTCGGAAGATCAATGACGACACGCTCATCCTCCAGACCAGGCTGAGTTAAAGGTGTTTTCCCGGTTAGCATTTCGAGTATCACCACACCAAAGCTATAAACGTCTGACCTTTGACTGACTCTCCTCGTCTCAATAACTTCAGGAGCATTGTAGCCGATGGTTCGCGGTGTGTGAGTTGGGAGGTTGAAGAGTGTGACTAAAGATGTGTCCGATAGACATGGCTCAAGGTCTTCAGTGAGAAGTATGTTGGACGATTTGATGTCTCCGTGAACGAATTTCAAAGAGTGAAGGTAAGAGATTGCTTTTGAAGTCCCAGTCGCGATCTTCATCCGCGTTTCCCAGTCGACTCCTCTGTCTCCTCTGTTTCCTGTCCGACAAAATACAAAAAGGAACAATCTTTTTCGTGACCCACAAGCTTTACATTACCAAAAAAAGTTAGGTTTTGGTCTCTTTATGACTCACCGTGCATAATCCCGAACAAGCTTCCTTTCGTCATGTACTTGTAGACCAATAGCTTCTCGTCTTTCGAATAGTAATAAGCAAGGAGCGGTACAAAATTCGAATGCTGGTTAATCTTCCCGACAACCTCCATTTGCTGTTCAAACTCTTTCTTACTCGCCACAACTTCTCTTAAACGTTTCACCACTACCGCGGTTGTGTCCTCAAGCACGGCCTTGTAGGCCGTTCCGAAACTCCCTTTACCGAGAACTTCGGCAGAAGCTTTCAAGAGATCCTCAAGATCGAAATTGTAATTGCATCTCTCGAAAAAGAACAGCTTGTTCTTCTCTGGATCTTGAACTCCGCTCCCGAAATCCTGCGGTTTCTTGCTATTAACTCCACCTATCTGCGTTCGCCTTCCTTCACCGCCTTCTTCTTTCTTCGTCCTCTTCACCAGACAAACTAAGAAAACAATTCCAAGGAAAAGAACGGCTACAGAGCATCCGACTATAATGGCGATTATGTAAGCTTTACTCTGTCTCCTCCGAACAGGATGAAGATTCTCTGTCAACGGTCTTGGCAAATTTGAAGACGGAGAGATGGCTTTTCCGGAACATGGATTCAGAGGTAAACCACGTAGTAATGAGTTTCCGATGAAAGAATTTTCCGGCGATCCCTTGAAATGCTCAGGGATGGGTCCACTCAAGTTGTTATAGCTAAAATTTACAACTTTTACACTTGGGAGATCAAGAGAATCAATGGGGCCATCAAAAGAGTTGTTTTGAAGGTACAATACAGTGATCTGAGACAAGTTCCGGATACCGGAAGGAATGTTACCAGATAAAGAGTTATAAGACAAGTCCAAGACAACAAGATGCTTGGAGATCGACGGCAAAGAATTAGTGAGTTCGCCGGAGAAGTTGTTGTGTTGGAGATAAAGGTATTGAAGAGAAGGGAGTGAGAGAATATCAGAAGGTAAAGTTCCAAAGAGAGAGTTGGATCTGAGGCTAAGGACTTTGAGAGCGTCTAGTTTACCTAATGTAGCAGGAGGGATTGAGCCGTAGAGGCCAACTCCAGGAAGACGAACTGCTACAACGCGGCTGGTGGGGTTGGAGTCGTCACAGGTAATGCCGATCCATGAGGAGCAGAGAGAGAAGTTCTTGTTCCAGTTGAGTTTGGGTGGATGTGGGACTGATGCTGCAAAGTTGAGCAGGGCTTCTTCGTCTGATGCTAAATCGGCTGAAACCAAAACCGCGGTTGCTGCGAGTAACAGGAAGAAGAAGGAGGCAGCCGCCAAGGTGGTGTGAGAAGAAGTCATGGTTGAGATCTTTTGGTTACTCACTCCATGAAATGATCTGAGAAAGCTGAAATTGAGTTTCTTATGAAAATTTTGTTCTTAGTGTTTGTTTTCATGTGGTAAAGAGAGTTAAAAAGAAAAAGTGAGCTCAAATAAGATAAAAAAAACAATGATTAGTTGGTTTATATCCATTGTTAAGTAAGCATAATGGGTTGTATTTAATATAACAAAAAGTAGATTCAAATTCAAATAAATATGTAAAGGAAATAAAAAGCAAGACACCGCAAAGAAAGGAGGGAAAGAAAAGCAAAAGCATCCCATTTTTTGCTTCTTTCATTTGTTCTTTAAGAGACAAAAGACACTACAAATTAAAGGAATATTTTGCTTTTTCTTTTCTTTGCATGATACAGCATGCAGAAGGGTAGTGATCGATTTCATCAAATAATTCAACAATGTTATCAAAATTAACCGAAAATATAACCTAATGATCTGTCTCGTGTTGTAATTTTATTGGTCATTGACAGTATCCGATCCTGCTTTTGTGCATATATTTGGAGACACCAAAATTGATATAAAAGTTGTCCTAAAACATTTACCAAAAAAAGTTGGTTTAATGATGTTGTGTTTTGAAGAGACCCATCTGCATGACTTTTTTTAACCACTAAAAGAGTAAAGTGTGAATTTTGTATGGAGAGATTATTTACCAAACCAACCACTGCAAGTGGGGTCTGTGCATGTTTAAATTTGATAAATTGCATTTAACGGAATTAGGTGCATAAAGTTGAAGAACACAATTACACAAGAGAGAATCAAAGATTGACTTATGAGGATATAACACTGTGTGGCTGTACTATGAGTTTTGCTTTACAAGTCCCTCCAATTCATTAGGTTGGGTTGGTCTAACTAAACGAATATGATGAATAATGATGGATTATCAATCCATGAAGATTGACTATGAAGTGACATTAGTAATATGATTTTTGATGATTTTTCACCTGGGCCTCAAAGACTCATGATTGAGTTCTTTTGTTACTGTTAACACAATAACGCAATGCATTTTGCAGCAACCATCGATGCCAAACCTTTCTCCCTCAAATATCTAGATTTAGGACAAAACACATCTTCTGTTCTGAAACTTGAGGACTTACTTAATCCATTTATTACACGGACCATTGCTTGGCAACCGACTATATATGATATGTGAAGTATGGAGAGAAAGGAACTCTAGAATTCAAACTTTTGCCAGACTCTCGAGTCTCGACAGTCAAAATCTATAAGAAGATCCATATAACTTTTCGCAACAAAGCCTCATTCATAAGTCATTGCTTAATTTGCCTCTAAAAGCTTCTGAGATTCTACTAGTTTGATTTCAAGGATTCCCCCTTCGTTTCATCAAGCCAGCCGTAAGTAGGTTTTGGTTCAATCATTTTCTTTAATTTGTAAGGCCTAGGGTTTTTGTTTTTTTTTTGACCCAAAACATTGTATCCATTTAGTTTTATTGAAAACCCTTTCACAAATAGGAGTAACTAATAAATAAACATAACTTCATGTAAGTGGTTGGTGTCTTTATTTATCAAAAATATGTCTTAATGAAGACGTGTTTTTTTTTTTTGGTTTTTAATTTTGATTAAAGTATTATTTTAAGATTTGATATGGTTTGGACTTTGGAGTCTCTTCCTATTCGTACTCTATTAGGAATATTTTACCCTCGTGAATATTACCAAACTATAAACAAAGATTTGCCAACTTTTCATGAGAAGCGTTTGATATTCTAAAGTCTTGTCTCTTCGTTTCTTCTGTGAATCTGGTTGGAAAAAAGAAAGAATGAATTCGATGGTCTCCACTGTCCGTGGAATATTCACGCTTTCAAAATCTGATACTTCAAATTCGCCATCTGATGAAGCCAAGAGTGACTTGAAGGTGTTATCAGTAGCTTGGAACCAGGAATGGAGTGGTTTCATAGTTGGAACAAATCGCGGGTTCAATGTATATAGCTGCAAACCAATGATCAAGAAAAGCATCAGCCGTGAACCGCACGAATCAGGCTTCAAAGTCGCTGAGATGCTCTTCCTTTCTAACCTATTTGCTCTTGTTGGAAATGGTTATAACAATTCCGAGTATCCTCCTAACAAAGTCTTCGTTTGGGACGATCACAGATTTTGCTGCCTCCGTGAGCTCGCTTTTAAATCAGAAGTTATCGCCGTGAAACTAACGAGAGAACACATTGTGGTTGTCCTGAAACAAAACATCTATGTCTACACTTTCAACAACCTTAAGGTTTACCGTCTGATCGAAACTCTCATGAATCCGAAAGGACTGTGTTGCGTCACTCACGTTGAGTCGAAAGCAGTCTTGGCTTGTCCCGGGTTTCATCCGGGACAAGTTCAGGTCCACAACTTGAGACGGAATGTAATCAAATTCATCAAAGCACATGATTCTGCTATTGCTTGCATGACTTTTACTCTCGATGGAAGTCTCCTCGCAACCGCTAGCACGAAAGGAACCCTGATCAGGATTTTTAACGCAGTTGATGGTACTCTCTTACAAGAGGTAATTAACCCTAAACCTAAATTTTTTTTTCTTAAACTCCCTAAACCCTAGAGAAATTTTAGGCTTTGTTTTTATTTGTGATTATGGTTAGTTAATTACTTAAGTAGTTTGATATGTTTGGTTTTCTTGGTGAAGTAGTTGCGGAGAGGAATGGAAAGAGCAGAGATCTATAACGTTGCAATCTCTTCAAATCGGAAATGGGTCGCTGCGTCAAGTGAAAAAGGGACTCTCCATGTATTTCGTTTGAGACCTGACATTCTTAGTTTTAATCTGGCTTCTTCGTCGTCATTCATGAAAGGGATCTTACCGAAGTACTTGTACGAAAATGAACGGTCGTTTGCTCAGTTCTCGTTGCCAGCTTCCACCAAGTTCATTGTAGGTTTTGGATCAGAGAACACTGTTCTTCTCCTAGGCATCGATGGAAGGTAAGCTTTTTCTCTTTGGTTTCTATGACTTGACTTCACTTTGGCTCTTTTTGGAGTCTGACTGTTTTCCTCATCTAATTGTCGGAATCATCCCCCCGTAAATGTGAAGTTTCAGGAGGTGCAAATTTGATCAAGCAGATGGAGGGCAGATGGTGGAATTGGAACACAAATACTTCTTCTCCTTGCAAGAGACGGGCGACACAATGGGTTTGATGTGATCAACACAACGCATTTTCTTCTTGTAATAATTAATCTTCTCTTAAAACTCATCAAACCAGTACTATCCTTTTTCTTTCTTGTTCTATATTTCTTGTGAAGAATAATGTTGATTTCTTAATAAACTAGGGAGTGATAAAACCTCATATATATATGTTTGCTATATCACTTTTATGCATTGATATTTTAGATTTTATAACTATATTATCAGTTAGTTTATTTCGTGGATAAAGTTTATAAAAAACCATTTTCTGAAATAAGTTCAAATTCGTAATCGTATCTAAATATTGATTCTTATCACATGTAATATTGATGCTGTATGTTATAAATGATGACTTCAACCAAACGAAACATAATGGTGGATCATTTTAATCAAAACCTAAGACTGTCCAACAATTAACTCAATTCTTTCAAATTTTACTTATTTATGAGAAGGTTTTGTATAAATAAATTTGCGCATAATTCTGTTAATGTTTCCAACCTTGTCCGATCGTAAATCGAAGAAGACTCAACAAAACTCAAACAAGTTGAGTTACTCCATTATATAGACTATAGTATAATCAATTTTCAAAACCCATGAAGATTTTGATGAACGTTCTATAAATGATGAAAAAAATAGAGGAATCACTTGTGTCAAAACGCGAAAATGTGGTAACTGTACCAAACTGTATTAGATCTGCCTTTTAATTCCACAATATATTTAAATGTTTCAAATGAGTGCATGTTGAAACACTCTTTTGGCCTAAGCGATTCCATCAATCAAATGTTTCAAAGGAATGCATGTCTATGTAAGAGGACTTTTATAACACACACACAAATTATGTAAGAGGTTAAAAGGTTATTTGATAATTTGCGTGTGCATAACCCTTAACCATAGAATTGATACTCAACTATTTTTCCAAATTATTGCATTTGTCAACCCTTATTTTTTATCTCACCATTGATAACGACGTTAGGAATTTTGAAACGATTAGCTGTCTATTTATCTAAACTGCACATAAAATATAAAATGGTAACCTAAATACTTCGTGTCGGCAGCAGAATTGATGCTATTGTTTTCTTTTGTTCATGTCAACTTCTGTCTAAAAACATGTCGAAAAAAAAAACATGTCGATTTTCTGCATGAAAAAAAACAAGATGCCTTCTTCTTTATGGTCAATTAATGAAAATAGTCAAAATCTCTCGGATCTATATAGCATTTCTTAATTTTTTTCTCATGCTTAATTACTTTTCAAGTCTTTCCAATTCCAATGACTAGGAACCAAATATCATTAATTAAGAGCACATTTTCTATTTATATTGAGTCATTGATGATCTGCTAGAATGTTTCACATCAAAAATGAAGTGTAATCTAATATAGTACTAGTATATACTCCCTCTGTTTCAGTTTAATTGTCGTTTTAGGATTTAAATTTTGTTTCATAATAGTTGTGGTTTTACGTTTTCAATGCAAATGTTTGGTGAAAATTCCAGTTTTATCCCTACTGTTTTAATGTTTAGGCCAGTGTATTTTTTTATAAAATATATTAATAAAAAGTAAAACAGAAAATTTAATGATTTTCATAATTTGTGTGAAAAAACTTTAAACGACAACTAAAACGAAACGGAGGGAGTAATGAATATAAGCCAATTTATTCACTATTAATTGATTTTAAGTTAGAATTTTATGTTCTTAAAATATACTAAGATCTTGTTTGATCCGGTGGATGATTTCTCACTTTATGTTCCAGAAAATAATTACGGATCTCATATAATGTTTTTCCATTTTATAAAAAGATGGAGTTAAAAAAAAAGATATTACTAAAAACTTCGCTGATTTTCAGAGAGATGGTCTCCGATTGGATCTAGTATGTGAGTTTCTTTTCATTTGCTTTTGTCTTCCCTGCAAATCAGAAAGTCTTTCTCTTCTCCATCACAAATCTTTCAGAGAAAGAATTTTGGCTTGCTTTTCCGACGAAGCTTTTGATATATCTTTCTAATTGTCTCCGTTGATCTTGGCTTCATCAGCGAGATCAGATGGCTTTTGTCTCCGACGAACCCAGCTTTCATAGTGAGTTTTGTTCGGCTAAGTTTCTGGCCTGTTCGGCTTATTCAGCGAAGTTGGCTGGCTTTATCTCCGATGTTCTCGTCGCCATCTCATCAGGTGAGTTCGATCGGCTTTGGTTTCTGGTTTATGGTTTAAACCGAAGGTAATAATTTCAAGAGATATGTGTATCTTTGAAATTTTCGTTCCTTGGTTTGGGTTTGTTTAAAAGGCAAAGATCTTCGTTGTGTTACGTTGGGAGATTTATTGGCCTTTGGTTTCCAGAAGGGGTTTCATGATTTGGGATCTTGTTGAGTGAAGATCTTTCAGAAGTTTAGGGTTTATTAGATTGCACTCATGGCTCTACCGGGTCGCGCGTTAAGTGTAAATGTTCCTGGGATAGGGATTAAGTGAGAGATTTAATTTTACCCTTACTTATATTTTCTGTTGAATTTCTGTTCGATTTCTTCGTTCAATTAGTTTCTGCGTTGCCCTATTTCACTCGAGTTTGTTTAACTCGTTTAAAAGCTTTATTTCCAAGGAAATTATGTTTTCCGTTGGCTTTGTTCTTGGGAAGTTTATTTCCAATGTTGTATAGTTTTTTTACCTTTGTTCAATAAATAAAATATCCAGATGACAAAAAAAAAAAAAAAAAAAACTTCGCTGATCGTTTAAGATTGAACTTCTACAGCCTTAAAATTAATTACGGTTTTTGCTCAGTTTAAAGTTTAATGTACTGTATGATTTAACGTATTAATTCTGAAACTTACTAAATGTTAAATGTCGTTTCAGTTTTGTACAGAGACAACAATTATTTGTATTTCACATGCTAAACTTAAAATAACCAACAGATCCTTACGAATATACAATCACGCCAAAAATCATTACGTTTGTTTTTGTAGAACAATATATTTGGGTTACTTGTTCAATCAACTATAAAGTTTCCTTTTCACAAAATAAAATCGTGACCATAAAACTAGATTTTTCTCTATCCAACTGTTTAGTTTCCAATAGAAATAGAAAGGTGAAAGATTAGAAGTTGTAGAAGTCCACGTGGTACATGTGGTGAAATGCGTGAACGCGTAACGCCGAGATGATAATAATAATAATACAAACACGCACAAAGAACACAATGCAACAACATTCCTATCCATCCACGTTAGCTCCCACCACCACTACCTTCTCCTCTTTTCTTATCCACCCACCTTCCTTATGCCTTTCCAATGCCATCTTATTTTCTTATTTTCTATACATAAATAATAAGAAATGACAACATTCGGTCACAATCACATTCATTCATAACAATTAGATATCATTAAATATATTTATTTATTTGGGAAAAAAAATGTCGTCATCCTTATATTGTGTCCCAAATCATTTCACATTACTATACAAAGTTAGGTGAAGAGCCGGTCAATTCGAATGAGCTTTTCTACCCTCTTTTACTATATTTTATACTGTATGAGATATACGTAAAGGGACCTCTCTCCTTGTCCCAAAACCGAACATAACCCGACTAAACCGAAACTGTACCGAAAGTCTCAAGAATGTAGTAAGAACACATAAAAGAAACAATAATTGGTATCCCTATCTTGCTGCAATTGGTGAATCCAAGACTGAACAAAACAGAGGAGAAAACAGTTTGTTCAAAGTAAAGTTATGTTGGATTCTGTTCCTTCTCCTCTGCTTGTTACTGTCTCCAGCTTGTGGAACTTGACTCTGTTTACCTTTTATTGCACCAGAGATTGCGAGATATGTGTGGTAAGTATGGAGTAAAATGACTTTTGCCGAGAGTTATTCACCATTTTGACAGAGAAGAAGCTATTTCCGCCCGTTAGCCCAATTCCTGTTGCTCATTCCAGGTCTCTTGAGTTGCGGTTTCTGAGCACTACCTTGCTTTGGGATCATCTCAAGTACTTGTATCGTTCGCTGCTTCTTGGCTGTGGCAAGATCACAAACATTTTTATGTTTGTCAGTTCTTTTGTTTTCAAGAATGTATCGAAAAACTCGAAACAAAAGAAAGGCAATGAAACGAACCATTCTCATGATGCTGGTAGCTCTCTTGAAGTTTCCTCTTTGCAAACTCAAACTTTGCGTCTGCATCAAGACCTTTAAGTTTCTGCAAGGGTCAAGAAAATAAACACCATCAATTCTGTGTTCAAGAATAGGATAAAAAACAAGAGCTTTGTTTCCACACTCACTTCTTGTTGAGGTCCGGGAGCTTTCCGCTTCTGTTCTGTAACAACCGGTTTCCTTTGGATCATGGGTTTTTCAGACTTGTGAACAGATACAGTTTCGTTCTTCATCCTTTGCTCTGTATTTTGCTTTAGAGGTCTTCTAGTCCCATCAAAATCAGCATCTGATGATGGCTTAATAGATCTAAAAGGAGCATCTTGTATCCTCATTTGTGTTCCCTCGGGTTTTCTCTTGGCGATATTTTGTGGTCTTCTTTCGTGCTCTCGGCTTGTGTTGTATTCTTTAGAGTTACGAGGATCTGAAACAAACATCCCCGAGAAAATCAATCAACCGAATATATGTAGCTAAGAACATGGTATCAAACAAACAAGAGATAATTTTCAAACTCACTTCCATCAAAGTCCAAGGAATCAAAGAAGTGTGAGATTTCAAATCCGTTTGGTTCTGGTGTAAAGATATCGACATCATATGGAAGCGATGGAAATGCTTCTTCTTCATCAACGACAGACGGGTTTGCAGACTCTGGTGTACCTTCAGCACCTGTTTTAAACACAAAATTAGAACCAAAGACTATGGATCTAATTCAAGAAACCAAACTGTAAGACATGATGTAGTCTATAAGACGTAAAGAATCGAAATGTGAGAGAGAGAGAGAGCGCAATTACCAGTAATTTCCTTTGTGGTATTCACCCATTGGTCCACCAACTCCTTCCACTCTCTGCATAAACCCATCATAAAAAAAAACTCAATCTCACATTCCAAAAGTGCAAAAAGAGTAAGAGGTGCCAAACTTATGGCCTAAGGAAAAGATCAAACTCATACGCGATAAGAGTCTTTGCAAGTTGTCGAATCTTATCAGAACCATGTTTCCTCAGGCCATTAACAGCCTTTCCAATCTCAGTACTCTGCGAGAATAACCGCAAACCTTAAAAATCACTCACTCCATACGAAAACCTCAAGGATCATACACTATCCACCAAGAAACCAACCTTAAGAATATCCACATTCAAAGACATCAACTTAAGATGTCTTAAAGAATCGAGTAACACCGAGTTTGGCTGCAAGAGAAGAACAAGAAACATAATCAGAAAAAAAAAATCTTCACATTGATGAAATTAACAAATTGCAAATTCAAGAACTTAAGATCAAACCTCATCTTCTTTGTTGAGCAAGATCTCTTTGATCCTAGCAACCTCCTTAGAAACCACAGAAAACTCTTCAATCTCATCACTCAAAGCCTCAGCTTCATCAAATGTATAATTGCTAACAATCTGATTACTATTCAAATTCGTCTCATCGATATGATTATTATCTCCTCTGCTACTATTAGCTTTGCTCTCTTTACTACCACCAACCTCATAATCTTCATCAACCGCCGTACCACCACCGCCGTCACCGGTGGCTCCACGGCCGCGATTACCCTCGTCGTCTCCGGGAACAGACAATTCGAGATGGTCGCATCCGATGCAGCGGCTCACTCTGCAGGAGAATAAAAGCTCGGCGATTTTGTCTCTTCTGGATTTGAATTTGTTAGGACAATCAGTAGCAGCCACCATGATCGCATGATCGATGATCCCGAAAATATCGGAATCTCCTCGCCGGAAATATTCTCTCCAGCTATCTAACGAACCTGATGCTTTCATCGTCAAAATTCGAATCCGATTCTTGTCGATCCAACTAATCGGATTCAATTCAATTTTCCCACAAAAATTCAGAAGGAGCCAAAATTTTCCCAGAAAAGGAAGAAGAAGAAGAAGATTGGGATCGTTAAGATTGAATCAGAAAAGAGAAGATCAGAGAAGAGCCAAAATCTACCCAGAAGATTTGTTTCAATGTCTTAATTACCATAAAAGGATCAAAATCTTAAAGGTTGAGACTTTGAAGATGATCAAACGAGATCAAAAGAATCTATAAAGATAAACACAAAATCTGTTTGGTAGTTCTTATGGATTTCTATTATTTTATTTTTGGCTCCGCTTTTAATCTGTTTCCGAATCTGACAAAAAACTTTCCCGGAAAGCCCACAAAGGATTTTCCCGAGAAAATTAGAAAAATGCACCGCAAAGATGAGAAAGAGGAAACTCAAAAAAACCAAAAGAGGAAAAACAGACAAAACATGAAACAGTTTTTGGTTACGTTGTCTATCTTAAAACCCAAGTGCTACTACGTTATACCAGCTACAAATTCAATTCAACAAGAAAGCTTCTTCTTTTTCTTATTATTAATTCAGAAGAAAGAGAAAAAATTAATTCTCTGATTGAAGTCTCTGTATCTGTTTGGTAAAAGAGATTTATTTATTTTAAGTTGGATTTTCTTTACGGCTTTCTTTTGACCTGATCGGTCTTATTTGGCTTTTCATTATTACTTTAAAAACATTATTCTTTTTTTCACCCACACATGCGTTGTACTTGAACGACGACACAAGTTAAGTGAAACAAGGTCAAACTCGTTTTTTTTTTTTTTTTTTTGTTACAATAAGTTGTTAATGGATTATATATTACGTTGGAAAATGTCAAAAGTAAATTCTACTAATGAGATTTGTTTAAGGACTTTAATGAGAAGTTCTGAATTGAAATTTGAACTATTTCTTAATGCTGCTGATAAAAAGCGTTTATCCTCTAGTCAAAGAGTGATATAGAATATTTGGTAAATACTAACTACGATCCAAACCAAAATGGTTTCATGTTACACTATTAATTCATGTTTTTTTTATATGTAATTGGATTAGGTACTTTGTTCATATTTGTAAGACAGAGAAAAGTATTACTTTGTTTACAATGGTTTTAAAATATTATACAATTTTTTTTGTAGTATTTTGTACTTTGGATTAGGTGCAAAATGATTTTACAAAGTTTGTTTACAATTGTTCCCAATTTCCATAAAGCTCGTTACCCTCACGGCTTTTTCATTAATTCATGGACAATTTCTCAATAACCATACTTGTGTTTTTTTATCCAACATAACCATACTTTTTAAGGCCATAAGATGTGTAGAGTTTATTTACAATAGATGAATAAAAGTTACAATTCTAAACCTGACTCATATTATTCCGGTAGGATCCAACCAAACGTTAACTTAGTCATAATGTATTTATTTTAGATAATTTACTATCACTGTATCACAGTTTACCAAAAAGACATAACATCTATTATATATTATGACATCCATTAATTATTGTCTTATGTTTTGTTGTTGTTGATAAAATATCCATTGTTTTTCTTTGTGTCTGCAATTCGCTTATGTTAACATGCATTTTCTAATAGCGTGTCTTATCTTTATATGAGACCACAATCGTAAATGTTTAATTATAATAGGTATATATAAGTAAGTAAAAGTTAAGATATTTGTTTTGTGTTTTACAAAGTCATATAAATTGGACTATTAAACTTAGCTTGTTTTGTTAGAGCGCTAAAAAAATAAGAGAAACAGAAGTTTCTGTTAGTGGAATTTGAAGCATTTATTAATTGTTGGTCAACAAAATCGACCCCCAAAAATAAATATTAATTATTTGATTTTTATGTTATACGTGACAAAACGAAGTCGTACGGGATTTGGGGCGGTGGTGATTACAAAGCCAATCAGAATCAATTGACGCTTAAACGCGTGAAAACACTGGGACTCGTTTGAGTGCTAACCTCACGGGCTTGTCACAGCCACCGTTACGTGACAGACGTTGATTAGCCGACACGTCAGCAGATATAGTGGCTGCTTTACGGTGTTCTATTGGACCTACTGAAATGAAAACTGGTGCGTGTTTTGTGTGGAAGAGATAACAAATCCATCTACCCACAAACGATCTCATTACAATTTTTATTATACCAAATAAAAATATAAATCATAATATATTGCATCATAAAATGACACTTTTTAGACCAAGTTGGAAAGAAAAATTGGAATTTTTAGCCTCAAATTATTCAATATATATATATATGCATGTATTTATTTGTATCATTGTGGCATACTTGTTCTAAAACGGACATTTGTTTAAAGGTCTAATCAGTTATTACTTGTGTAATATGCCCACCAAAAAAAAAGTTATTACTTGTGTAATATTCATCAAATTTATCAAAACAGAACATAAATATTATTCTATGCTATCCATACGACCACATGTAAAAGAAATGTGAGCGATTTCGGATTGTTTAAAATATATGATCATTTTTTGTATATTAGAGCTATGTGTACTTAATTAATCCAAAACATGATCAACAAGAGTCACAAGACTCAAATTTTTCTTGTCCACAACATCATATTATACAAGAATTCGAATCAAACTTTTTGTTTTACCTGTTGAATCAATGTTATATATACTAATGATTTTATCCGAGTTTGTAACTTTATTCCAAGGTCCAAGCCATAACTTAATATATAATCGAAAATGCCATACCGGATTCAACATTATGGAACTGTTCTGACCAATATAATTACACTACTTTTATGCCCTTTTGATATCGTCACAGCTAGCGCAAAGCTGAGGTGAGATATATTTTATGTTGTGATCAATTACTTGGTAGTTGGTACCTTACGCTAATAGTGTAATGATGGAATCATTATATAGATGAAAATTAATACTATCAAAAATGCTAAACAGTCTCTCAAATGCTAAACATCATTTTGAAGTGGTAAGCAGACTGTCAGATTTTTATTTTTATTTTTAATATTCTTGATTACTTATTAAAATGTAAAGGAATAAAATACAAATGTTTTTTTAATAAATTTTACATTTATACCGGAAAAAATGAAAAGAATGAATAATTTTACTTTTCTGTTTCGCTAGCTAAAATTTTCATAATATCATAGTTTAAAATAATATTTACCTTACTAATATCTCTTAGCAATTGAAAATTCAAAGTGAAACACCTCTTTTTTTAAACAGAACAAGACTCCATTAACTTAGGGAATAAGAGAGTTTACAAACGCCACAAGAGCGTCTTTAGCAAAAAAATCAGCCTTACAATTGGCTAATCTAGGAATGAAAGTAAACACAATGTGTTTTAACACCTCTTTTCATATGTTTTCAGTTTATAGCGGCTCTAACTATGTCACCATCACTAACAATTATCTTTTTTCTCTTGTTAAAGACTTTCGGTTATCTTGCAATATAAACAAATTATTGTGTGTTTGTGTCACTCTCGTATCTAAAATTGTAGTGTATAAATTATCTAAGCAACTATCAATAGAGTGTCTAATTGTTTACAACTCACACATTATCGTACATTAATCTAAATTGTTGACAAAAAATGTTTTCTTTGCTGGAAAATAATCAAAAGATAGAAAAATGTCAAAATGCAGAAATGGGGAGAGCAAATTTGTTGACTTTCTTTATTAAGAAAAAAATTGTATTGTACCGTTATATATAAACCGAATATGTAGTTGTGTCATCAAATGTGGATACCAAATTGTGATTTTGTGTTGTTCCAAATATCAACTATACAAACTAAAATGGTCAAAGTTTAAATTTGATTGTACTAAATACTAGTACATCTTTTTATCATCCGGAAATTTGAACCAACAGAGATCGTAAAATTAGTTTGGATTTATACGGTTTTCTTGTGTTTTGTATCGTTGATTATTATTACTTTGATAATTTATTTATACGTTCTTCTTTTTGTGTTATGACTTTTAACGATATGGAAAAGAGTAAATGACCCTTTCGTATTTGACGCCGTTTGATTCTTTTGACTTTATGAAGATTAGAAAACGAGAATTATTGTGTTGACGTCAAGTAAACATGGTTGGTGAAGGACTCATCATAAGTATCTAACGCCCAACTTAATGTCACTTAAGTCGGTCATTAAAAACGACCAAATAAACATGAACTGAATAGTATCGGACGACCGTCGTTGCCCTGTCTTTTAATTTGGTCAAGTTAAACCAAACTAGACCGATCCAAAAGTAAACCGGCCTGAAACCAGAAAAAGCATTTCAAGCTAACCCATAATTAAATTAAACTAACCGAGACAGAAGTCTAGTTGATAAAGGCAACATAAACATCGGTTAAGGTTACGTACCAAAAGCAGTAAATAACCGGTTATTGTAATCTTAGAGGGAACAAAAAAATCCGGTTAAGGAGCTAAGCACTGATTGAGAGTTTCAGAGAGACATGAGAGCAATCACGTCTTCAACGTTAACCTCTCTTTCATCTTTCTTTTGCCTTCTTTTAAAAGCTTCGTTAGCTAGATTCTTCTTCTTCTGCTGAAGCTCAAGGACTCTCTCTTCGATACTGTCTCTCGCAATCATCCTTATCATTTTAACCTCTTGTTTCTGCCCAATCCTATGAATCCTGTCCATGGCCTGTTCTTCAACTGCAGGGTTCCACCACGGGTCCAACAAGTAAACCCTTGAGGCTGCAGTTAGGTTTATGCCCGCACCAGAGGCCTTGAGGCTCGCTAGCAACACCACAGGTCCGGTTAACTCCGGATTCCCAAATTCTCCAATGACTTGGGTGCGTTTCTTCAGAGTCATTGCTCCATCCAAGCGTAAGATGGTGAAACCCGCAGCTTTTAGTGGAGTTTCTAGTAGAAGCAGCATCTTCCTGAATTGAGAGAACACAACAGACTTTGTGTTGGGGCTTTCTTGTCTCGATGCGATGAGCAGTGATAGTAAAGCTGAGACCTTTGAGGATTTGGTTGAAGATTTGGTGTCTTCTCCGTCGGTGTTGGAATCATCCGGAGGAGGCGGCGGAGCATTGTAGAGATCAGACTGGGTAAGGGAGCCACGGCAAAGAGGGCACAATGGTTTACTTCTTTGAAGGGTTTGAAGGATACAAGCCCTGCAAAAGATGTGAGCACATCGAGTGATGATGATGTTTGTTGGTGGTGAAATGCAAATTGGACAGTCAAAATCTTCACCATCTTGCAATACTGCAATCAGCTTTTGCAGAAGCTCTGGCTTATCTATTACATCTGTTTCACAAAGGCACAAAGATTTTTAAGCTATGAACCCAAAAGTAAGAATATGTATCAGTTTTGTTTTTACCTTCGACAGATGTAGAAGTGGTAAAAGATCTTAATTCTGGAGGGCATAGAGAAATGTCGTCGCAAAGTTGTCTAAGCCGTAAGATTATACTTAAAACTGTTGAGTAGTTGCGCATCAAGCTTCCATTATTTATAAGATTCTGCACAACACCTTTCGCTTCTCCTTCCATGTGATCATATAACTGACGTTCTTCTGGAGAAAGCTCAACATAACAAGTTTCAACAGTCTTAGGCGGTAAACCAATCAAACTCTTTTCTTTTGTTCTCCTTAATGAAATTGTCGCCATTAAAACCTGAAAAGCGTGTAATTGAATAACTTTTCACCAAAGAGCAAAACATAAAGAGGCATATCTGTGAGTAATATATTATTACCTGCAGACGTGAAAGACCCTTTTTATTCCCTTGACCAAGCGGGCGTTGTATCAAGCTTTGCCAATAACTCTTAATCGAAAATGGCTCAAACCGGAGAAACGCCATCAAAGAGTATAAATCAAATGAACCATTCTGAATAGGAGTTCCTGTGACAGCCCATCTGCGAGAAGCCTTCAACTTGCTAACTACTCGGCTCTGTTGAGCGTTTGCATTCTTAATGGTGTGTGCCTCATCAAGAATTATTCTCAGCCACTCCATCTTCTTGACAGGAGAATCTTCCCACGATTCCTCAACAGCTAAAGTGCTGTAAGTAGTCAGCACTAAATCATATTTCATAAGCTCATTAACATCGTCTGTCCTTTCGCCACCATGATACATATACACCTTCAAGCTTCCCTGTACAGTATGCTCCTCTAACTGTGTAATCCATGCTGAAATCACAGAAGGCGGACAAACGATCAACGTTGTCTTTTGAGACACATTCATGCCAACAACATCATCAGGTTTAAGCTTCTTTCGAGTTCTACTTTCACTGCTCTTGCCTCTTCCTCTTTTTTTACCCTTCTTTTCAATCTTGTCTCCTTCAACATCCAAAGGTTCTTTGGTTGGCGTACTGGTGGATGCATTGCCATATCTATCAAAAGCTATCAAGGAAAGTAAAGTAAGGGTCTTACCCAACCCCATATCATCAGCAAACACCCCTCCACGCAAAGGTTCAGGCCGCTTATCCGAGCGGTAATTCGTCAAAGTATTCAAGAATTCTCCATCTTTCTCCTCCCAAAACGGAGGCAATTCTCCAGATTTCTCTCTGTAGAGTAACCAACCCAATCCTTCCTTCTGATGAGCAAAAAGTTCAGACTTTATCACTTCCCTCGGCGGCTCAACCGCTACCAATTTCCCCTTTAACTTCACATTCCTATCAACCAATTTGAAAATCTTGTCAACACTCTTCTTATCTCCATTACCCATCTGTTCCTTAACCACAACAGCCTCAGATAACCCAAACGCTGTATCTGAATCCGAAATCAACACTAACCCACCTCTAGAAATCGTCGATTTGACAGTAGAGGAGGCTTCTAACTTTGCAAAAACGTGAATTTGACACGGAATTTTAAACCTATTGGAGTTAGAACGAGTATTGGGTACAATACCTTCGACGATGATCGTGTGAGAATCAATCAACGGCGCGAGAACGGCTGCTACCGTACGCTCGATGTGACCCACTTGCTCAGATCGTGTGTTCAGTACTCTGATTGCGTTATTATCATATGGGTTCAAGGGTTCTCGAACCAGACCTACCATCTCTCGACCGTTGATTCGGCCGGAATAGTACTTTAACCCTACTATGTTCGCGATAACAAACCCTATCAAATAAGACTCTGAAACACAGTCCTGAGATTGCTGCGATGGTTCTACCGGAGATTGAAATTCGTCTTCGTTCGCCATGGGAGGGGAAGAGAAGTGTCGAAGAAACTGTGCCATGGGATGGGAGAGGAACGATGACGGAGAGAAGAAGGAGCTCGAAAGTTTCAAAAACCGCCTCCTTTCGAAAGAGTGTGTGTTTTTTTTTTTTTTTTTTTTTTTTTTGATGTCTTGTATCGTATCACTCATAAAATAACTAAATTGAGATTGCATCTCAAATTCTTATAAATAGAATTTTACACCCCAAAAGTTGGAACAATATAAAGTTTTTGTATTTTATGAATTCAAATGCAAATAACAACCAAGTTTATTACAATGTTTAAGTGCACAAGTACTGATTTGACACAAGCCGATACTATGCAAGAAAACAAAGGTGGTGAATCTAAAACTAAATCAAAATTAAAGAAAAATACTTAAAAGGGAAGCATTACAACTTCATAGCTTGAGTGAGAGAGAAAGAGAAGAACCATCATTTTCTTTCTTAGCATCCATCTCTTCTGTTGCATCGTTTGGTTCTTCAGGTTGTGGTTGGGTTTGGGAGCTACCAACACCAAGACAAAGATCTAAACACACTGGTGACGATGCAGACGATAGCGGTTGAGGTTGAGGTTGAGTTTGGGATGAGATCCCGTTAAAGGTCGAACCCCGGTCCATTCTTTGACTTGGATCACTTCGTAGTCCTAAAAAGCCAGAGCTTGAAGATCCCATATATTGGTTGTAGACCATGGACATATTGTCAATTCTATCAACTTTGTAACGACGTTGTTCAAATCCCGGTGAGAGTGCGTACTGGTTAGGAAATGAATGCGGATGCAAATACGAGTACAAGTAAAGGTCTGGTTTCGGTTGGTTCAAATGCGCCAAAAATGCTTCATGTTGTTTTTTTACCCCTCTCTCCTTCTTGTGAGCATTTTGATGACCACCCAATGCTTGTGTTTTATCGAATTTCCTAGGACAATACTTGCATTTGTACATTGGATTCTCTATCGATCCGGTGGCGGAGGCATTGTCGCTAATATCACTAGCGTAATTCGAATCAGAGGACAACATTTTGTTGTCGATCGGATCCATCGGGCTTTTGCAAATTTAGGTCTGATGGCTTGGATATGTGATTGCACCCGGATAGGTATTTAAATATTTGATACTTTGTATGCACTTTTAATATCAAGGAAAGTTATATGTTGTAATGTTATGATGTTTGAATAAGATAAATGCATATTGATGAAAATGGAAAGGGACTTACTTATAGAGAAAAATGATGAAGAACAAAGACTAACTGAAGTACTTAACAATCTAGTTTATCATTTCGACAACTCACACATAAGGTTAACATGTTTAATTACTAGATATATTTGACATTTTACATTTGCCGAATTTGCGTAGTAAATTTGTTTTGAATTAATACTTGTTGCACTTATATTTAGTCAAAATTAGTTCCAAACATTACTTATTTCCAAAGTGAGTTGGGAGAATTTGGTTCTTTTGCCCTATTAAATTTAAGATATAGTTGAAAACAAATTATTTAGAAGAGTTTAAAGACTTAATTAGTAGCTCTTTTATTTTAGTCAACTTTAGAAAACATGATTTAAGGATTTAATTAGTGTCATTATGTAGTCAACTTTGAGAACATTATATCTCAACTCTTAAAGTGATTTCCATTGCTTGCATTTTTATATACATCACTTTGGAGGTAATAAAAAATAACATTATTAGCTTTCATATTTTATTAACATAAGTGAAAATATATATTAAAAGTAAGTAATTAAACTAAATTTGGCTACCTTTTAATAAGAGTAGATAAACAGATTAAAGCATTTTACAATCAAATCTATAATGCTGATCTTCACATCAAAAGTATTAACTTAAAAAAATTTAGTATGACATATATATATAGCACACTTTCTTATGATATACTGTACATGGCTTTAAAATGATTACAGACATAGTCAAAAATTTTAGTTTATAGTTTCTCAACTCTTAAAAACGAAATTAAAGATAAGAAAGCTAACCCTTATTATTCTAATAAACTTTTGAAAGCTATATATTATGGAATTAGGGTTTAGTGAACTCTGAGGGCTTGGAAAGACGATGAACTTCCGCCGTTTCATTGGTCCTGGTAGCCATCTCTTCAAAACGGTTTGTTTAACAGAGAATGCTCCGGCTTCGATCAGGGTCGAAGCACTAGCGAAGGCAAAAGTGGAAAATAGGCGGATATGGAGAAGAAGAGAATCATGTTCGAGAAACTGCATGCAATCTCTGACTGAGCCGGAGGGAATAATAGCATACACGTTAAGAAAGTTGATGATGATTGAGAAGAAGGAGCCCGACTCCGTCACCAAATCAGATCTGATACGCTGGGCTATGCATCTGATGAGAACCGGCGATGATAAATCCGCCAAGGAGACTCTTAATTTGGTAAATGATGCTAGCAAGAATCAATCATCACATCACATGGCGACGACGACGGTAAGGTCTATATCTCTCTCCTGTTTCGTAGGTTGGAGGAAGAAGAGAAAGTAGGTGTAGCTGCAGAAACATTAAATGAGTTTAGATCAAAGCGTTTTGCCATCACCAAAGAAGATCTGCTTAAATGGGGTAAACAGGACAAGGAGGGAAAACATTACCATGCCATTGAGATCTTTGAGTGGATGGAGGAGGAGAGGAAGAGAGTGTCATTGACTACTTGCGAGCTTGATCTTATTCTAAGGACTAAAGGCTATACAGCTGCTGATGCATACGTCCGCAAACTCTACCCTAACCTGAATCACGTTGATTGGTTGGTGCGACGCCCCGTCGCTCGTTTTAAAGCAAAGATATTGATTGGTTATGAGCTACCTGAGAAGACAAAGGGGACTAGAGTAGTCAGATGCATAGGTACCTCAGGCTATCCAACACACTTTCGCAACTGAAACTCATGGTTTGGTGGGTTGTCTGAATGAATAAATTAACCACGGCTTTCTGATTTTCTCTTTGCCTTTTAAATCTCTCGTGTCTGAAGAGGTAAAATCTCTAATGCAATCTTGTGCAATTTGCATCTGAGTTACTTAGGCTTCTTCCTAATGCAAGCTTGTGCAATTTTTGAAGGGTCATTTGCAGCAATAACCCAGTTCAATGATAAAATGAAGCTTATGGCACTATATATACCATGGAAAATTAAGAAAGTAGCTAGCGTAAGGCCATTTTGGGTCTAGCTACTGGAGATGCGGATTAGGGTTACGGTGGGCTAGCTAGGTTTTGGTGATCGAATTAATGGTTGAAAGTGCGTCTTTAATCGTTTTGAGTAAAAGGTTTTGTTTACTACATATATAGAACATTAGAAAAAGAAAGGGTATAGAACAAAAGAAAACATTCTATCTTGTTTATTCATTTAATCTCTGTATCATCAAATTACTAAAAAAACACATTTTTTTGGACATTTCATATGGTTTCTACAATCAAAAATAAAATACAGTAATGATTTGTGTTCTATATAAAACAACAAAATTTCGTATAATTGCCAAACAAGCCTTAGTGAAATACAAAGTAATGTTTTTTTTATTTGTTAATTAAAAAAAGTAATGTTTGTGTGAACTATAGTCTATATCATTAACGCTTATGTTGTACAATATAACTAGATCCGGACCCGCACCTACGTGTGGGAATTTGTTAACATACAATTTTCTGAGTATAGAACTTATGTCATATAGGTTTTGAATGTGTGTATATCAATTTGAATTTGGGATGATTATTAAAAATAGATTATGTGTGACATATTACATGATTGAATATATTGGTATGGTAAAAAATCAAATGGTCGATAAAATATGTATTTGGGTATAGTTTGTATAAAAAATAGTTGGATTTTGGAAGGATAAGGTTGAAGATTCATGCGGGGTTTTGTTCGTATATGTATTTTTGTATAGTATAATAGGGTTGGGCATTGTATACTCATTCCATGTATTCGATCTGTTACCCGACTCGTACTTATTTCGAAAAAAGGTACGCTTGACCTAAAGACGGGTAAAGGATATTATAATTTTGTTACCCGTAGATAATGGTCGAGTATTATGTATTAATATTCTTTAATGCCAATATGTTAATTAATGGCCCAAATATTTTTTCCGATCTAGATTGAATGGGCTTTTAAAATATTGTTTTAGGCCCAATTGTAAACCTCGTGGAGCTATTTAGTATTCCATTTGTTTTTATGTATTTACCGTAATACGGGATATTAGTGTATTTGGACAGATATTTGCTGTGAACAATTTGTTGTCTTATTACCAAAAAAAGAGAAAAGGAATTTTAGTGAAAATAACGAAGACCATCGATCGATCTCCAGAATCAAATACGATAATCTCATAGGAACATCATCGTCTCCTATTATACCTCTGGTGGGTTTCAATTCGTGAATTCTACGAAGAGGTAATCTATTTATTAAATCAAATTTATACTTGTACAGCTTTTGTATATGTCAGATTCAATTTCCAATCTTTGAAATTTTTTGTTTTAATAGTATAGAATCGCCAAGGATTTACAAGAAGCCGGATCTCTTAAGGCTGATTTAAAATTAGTTTTTGATAGATTTTTTTTAAGGTTTGTATACGAATTTGATTTACAGTGGTTTTGAATTGTTGTATAGAGTAGCTCTGTATACAGTTAATCTCGAGTATCCGTAGCTTTTTATAGTTTGAAAGCAATAAATTGAGTATATTTTGTGTATACTGTGTTTTGAATTTTTAATTTTTTTTGGTTGTGTATTCTAGTGAAGGATGATTAGCAAGTAATTTCAGACAATGGAGGAGACAATGGGATATTGTCATTATAGCTATTCATAAATATATGTGTCAAAGGTTAGTAAGATTCTTAATTTTTAAAATTTTGTTGATTATGTTTGCAGAGTTCCCTGGTTTTATTGAGCTTAAGATACGTTACTTTATATATGGCACATTGTTTTGATCTTGTATTTTAAAACAAAATCATCCTTGCCTGTGTATTAACGATTTAATGTGAAGGATGATTTGCGATACAGACAATGAGACTATGGGAGAAGCTCTATGATTTTGTCAGTGTAGCTATAAGAAAATATATATGTAAAAGGTTGGTGAAATCTCAATTCTTACGCTTTTGTTTCTCAGATTTGCAGCTTTACTTACTGTTATTGAGTTACTTTAAAAAGTTTAACATGTTAATAACAATATTCAATGTTCTAATGTGAAGCATTCGATTCTATTAACATAAAAATATGGAGAAGGGAAGAGTTATATAGTCATTGCCTCATTGGAGATATCCAGAAATATATATGTAAAAGGTTAGTGCCTCATGTGACTTTTATACTGTTGTTTATTCATATTAGTCTTTGTATGTTTAATCAAAAGTAGTATATCATAACAACGATGAAGATCCTGCAAGATAAAGATATAAGGAAAAAAAATTATATGCAAGATAAAGCTATAACTAAACATAAAAAAACCTATAAAGATATTCGCATTCAATCGTGATTCATTCAAAATATCTTGATAGTTTGCAAATCGAAGAAAACATCATCTGAAAGAGAAGAACACCGAGTGATAATAGTAGTGTTCATGAGGGACATTTTGCAACCATGTTTGGTAGCTCTGTACTTTCCCATAGATTTTGAGAGAGTAAATTTTTAATAAATCTCCACTCTCCAGAGTTGATAAACCTTTGCAGCTTGTTCATCTGTTGTTTATTTATAGTAGCATGAATCAAAGTAGCCTACAAAATTCACAATTGTAGTAAGCAAAACAATAATCCTTTTTAAATATGAAAGGTTTGAAGTTAGAAAGTTAAAAATACTTACAGAAACAGTAGCAAGAATCATTTTCATTGTCTCTCGTGTGAATTGAGTGTGTTGAGTCTATGAGTGAACGATTGTTTTGAAAAGGTTTCACGTTAGCAAGTTCCGTGATAGGAAGATTTGCAGCCATTTTTTTGACCAAAAAAAAGAAGAAATTAATGAAGTTAAGATTTGAAGGATTGTGTTATGAAAGTTGATTATCGAGTTTACTATATATACTATTACAGATACAACTCTCATTTTTAGGGTTTACTTTTGTAAATATGAAAATATATTTGCGTAACCGTATTTAATAGAATCATTAATAGAATACTAGATATTAACCCGCGGTACACCGCGGGTCTATAATTTTATTAAATAATAATAAAATTAATTTTTTTTTAAGATGATCTATAGATATATGCTATTGTTTTGTTTGATTTAAATGTATGGTACACACGATATTTTATAACTAAAGATTTAAAATTTGAAGTTTTATTTGTTTTGTTAATATTATTTGTTTAGTTTTGTTTAGTGTTTAAGATTGTATTGTTATATTTTGATTGTTAATTATAGGATTTCACCTGTAGTATATCATACTGTATTAATATCCACCCCAAATCCGTCCGACCATATAACTCTGTCCCGTGAAATCTACATCATTTTGTCATTTTCCAATAAAATTCAAATATTTCTAATATTCGAAACTTCATTTAATATCGACCCAAAATTCATAATAGTATTTTGATTGTTATATCTAGGATTTCACCCGTAATATACCGTCCCGATTATTATCTTTTGTAAATATTTATAATGTTTAAATTTCTTATAAATTATTATAAAATTCAACTATTTAATATTTGAAACTTTATAAAATTCATAATATTATAAATATTTAAAACGTTTTATAAAAATAAACTTTTTTAAATGTTTAAATAATTATAATATTTTACTTTTAATAAAGTTTAAATGTTTATAATATTTTGAAACTATTTAAAAGTTTCAATAAAAAATATTAGAAAACATTAAACATGAAATACATTGGATAAGAAAATAAAATATATATGATGTGATTGTTAACCATATAAAACATGTAATTGTTGTAAAAGGTTTTAAAAGATTAGAAAAATTACACTTACCAACCAAAACTCGGATCCACAGGTTTTAGTAAAAGTATATATCATAAAAACAATTAAAATACATAACATTAGAATAATGAAAATTAAGAATAAGAACTTTATTTTATTAACAAATTCATTTCCTTTTTACGTTAAAGAAAAAGATTTTAATAGAATGGACTTGTTATGTTAGCCTATAAAAAAAAATCATTTACAAACATTATGAAGAAACATGAAATTATGAAAATGTAAAAAAATACTGGACATTAAAAAAAATTCGTATCTGAAGATAAGAAGAAGGACTAACTAACCTTTTAATGCATACCTTATTTGATAGTTTCTTTGGAGACGGAGTTGATGATGTCCATAATTTCCAAAGATCTTAAAATCGAAAGCTGCAACATAAGAAAAGTAGGTGACAATTAATTTTTTAAAAGAAAACAAACGTGAAATATAAAATGTACTAAGAACATTGTTTAAAAGAAGCCATATAAATCTCTATTACGAAAACGTTTAGTATTGTGGATCAATGGTTGAAAATATCTTTTTTATATAGATGAATAAAAAGTACTCGAGAAGTTTAGGTTTGATCTAAAAATTAAAACAATTTTGCAAATATTGGAAAATTAAATATTTGATTCCTAATATATTCAATTTTGTATTATCAACTGAATAACGTCTATATGCATGGTGGGATTTATGAATGAGGAAAGCTAATTAAAGATATTTCCATTTGTTTTAGGAAGTTTGTTGAATAATATCTAAACGAAACAAAAAAAAATCTTTTAAAGATATTTTATGAGAAATAATATATTCGTCAATTTGGGTTGGGGATCAAGTATATGAAAATCTCGTAAATATTATATGTTATATTTATTACATATACTAATTTTCACATTGTAGTTATTTAAATCAAAGAATTTAATGAGTTAATTATGGAATACAAAATATCTATGTAAATCAAAAAGTTTAAAGAACCAATAGCGCTGGAATTGATTTTTTTGCTATAACGATTACTAAAACATTTAAGTAAATAAAGATATTTCGTTATGATTTTTCAGCATATTCGAATTGTTGATTATTTCGAAATTTAAGGATGTTTAAGAAATCATAATTGATTTCCGATTTCATAAATTTTGATTAGAATTAAAAATAAAAGATTTAGTATTTAGATAAGGAATATACTATAATAAGGATTATTAGTACTCGAATATATTAGGAATATTCGTATTGTTAGTTTATTTAATTCAAAAATTATAATTTGCGGATTTAAAGGAAGATCTTCTCGAGATTTTAGGCATATAATCGAGATTTTAGTAACAAACTGTGATCACATTAAATTTTCGAAAGATTTGTGTCGAAATTGTTAGAAACAAATTAGGATAGATAATGTTTGGTTAGTATCTTTTTAATATTTTCAAATCTTTAGAATTAAACTCATTGACATTATATTGTTGAATTTATTTTTTAAAAATGACGTAATATTAAATAAAAAAATAAATAACTAACTATTTTCATTTGATGGTGTAGACAAATTATTATTACTATTTATGTAATTTAATTACAAATAACAAATATTAATTTTTATAACAAAACAAATTATTTTCGTAATAACAATTTTTCCCCAAATCAATCTTTTACAAAATATTTATTTTAATCACATATTCTTTCCATATAGAAATAAATAGTTAAATAATTATGGTTAGAAGTAGTTAAGGTAAATAACAAATATGGTTAGTTTAGATATATTATATATATTTCTAATTTAGGTGTTAATTAATAATTAATGTCGTTTTTATTACAAACTTCCTTAAATTTCTTATTCTAGATCCGAATAGAGTTAAACCCGGGTAAAACCCGGATCCAAAAGACTTTTTGCAAAAATCCCCTGTAAAAATGTATATGTAGATGCTTCATTTGATAGGAATATAATATTTTATACTTTTGAAATTAGGCAAATATAATAAATGAGATTAGATCTTATTGAAAACAGTTCCTACAAAATTGGTTATGTTCCTTATATTTGGTGATTTAATTTGGCAATTATTTTGCGTTGATTTTCTGTTGATTGTTTTGGCAACTGTCTTAATGATTTTCGAAATTATTTTGTGTAACAGCACAAGAGAATATTATCGGAGTAAAATCTTAATGATTTGTTACCCAAACGGGTCAAATCGAGGATCCGCGTCCCAGACCGTATAACGCTGGATAGGGTCCGCGTTTTATCCGAAAACAAACCCAAGATCCACGTTATGTATCCGATCAATTTGTCCACTTTAACCTTATCCAATTTTTTTAATTTACTCTTTGATTTAAAAATTACCAATAGCATTCTTTGTAATATTCTACAAATTAAAGGTTACTTAATATTCAATATTTCCCAATTAATAGTATAGATGTACCATTTGTTTTGATTAAATACCAAGGGAAGAAACCCACTAAAAAATCCTGACGAATAATAGTAATGGCAAAATTGGTCTCTACTGCTGAAAGCATGACAAATTACAGCCAAATTTGATATATCTTTTTTAAGTTAAAAAAAAAAAAAAAAAAGGGACAACAGACTGATTTAAAATGGGCTTTCAGATGAGTCCATAACAACTAAAATGGGCTTGAAAGTCATATTTAATGGCCCATGAGATTTTTTGCTTCTTTTAAACGGAAAGAGTCTTTAATCGGCGAAAGAAACCATCCTCGACTGTTAAGAAAATTCTCATCGGCGTTTAGATCGGAAACTTGGGAACAAGAGAAGCTCACTGGGAACAATGGATATGAGACGATCATCGGCGTGGTTGATGTTAATTTGCGTGTCGTTGGTTCTCTTTTCTGGATTTGGTCAGTTTGTGATCTGCAGTGAAGAAAAAGGAACGTACAACGACAACAACAACAACGTTGTAAAGATGAAGCTTGGTGGATTTAGCGATTCCACTAATGATCGGAACGGTGGAGAAGAGATCGATGATATTGCACTCTTCGCTGTTCAAGAACACAACAGACGAGAGGTTTGGTTTTCTCCAACCTAATTAGTATATTCTCTGGAATTAGGGTTGGGATTTTAGTGATTTGCGTGTCTGATTGTTCTTGATTTATAGACTGAAGATTAAAGATTAAGGATTTTTTTAGTATTGATGAATTTTATGGTTTCTCTGTTCACGATGTTTATCTCTACACGCTATATGGTTTAATCAGCTTGTGGTTTAATTCTTTGTTATGTTTTTTGGATTTTATGGAGTAGAATGTTGTTCTTGAGCTTGCTAGAGTATTAAAGGCAACAGAGCAGGTTGTTGCTGGCAAGCTCTATCGTCTTACTCTTGAAGTTATTGAAGCTGGTGAGAAGAAGATTTATGAAGCTAAAGTTTGGGTGAAGCCATGGATGAACTTCAAGCAGCTTCAGGAGTTCAAGAATGTTATCCCCTCCTTCACTATCTCTGACCTTGGCTTGAAATCAGGTAAACAACTTTGAAGTGAACATCATCACACCGTGTCTGGTTTGGTAATATGATAATCGTAATCTGCTTGTGATCAGCTAGTTAAAGTCACAGTCACCCATGATTTTCACCGTGTAGTTTAATCTTTGGGATGTATAACACTGTTTCCTTTTCGATCTTGATCATAGCGAGTTTTTTATGGTTCTTGATCTCTTTGCTCTGTTTGAGGCAGATGGTAATGGATTTGACTGGAGATCAGTATCAACAAATAACCTTGAAGTACAAGAGGCAGCAAAGCAAGCAATGAAATCACTTCAACAGAAATCAAATTCACTGTTCCCCTATAAACTCATAGATATAATCCTAGCCAGGGCAAAGGTTGAGTTGTTTCTTATGTTCACTATCAGTTTCTTTCTTAATCACCAAACCCATGCATCTAATTAAGCAAAGGAATGATATTTTTACGCGCAGGTGGTTGAAAACCGTGTGAAATTCGAACTGCTTCTGAAGCTAGAGAGGGGCAACAAACTGGAAAATTTCATGGTAGAAGTGATGAAGGATCAAAACGGCAAGTAGCAGTAGAAGTTGCAGATAGCTTTTGGGTTGTGTGACATATGTGTGAATGGAGTATATACTAAAAACTGCTATGTAATGAAAATAAACATGGTGCTTGTTTGGCTTTAAACAGGGTTTCTTGTAAATATAAATACATGACTTCATATATGTAAAAAAATGATGATATGATTATGTGTTTGAAAATGTTGAAATCTAGAGTCATAACCGACCACACCAAATCATGAGAATGTGAATAAACTAAATTCTTTTGGCTTCAAAAGGAAAAGTTGTCTTCTTTAGTATTTGGCCCCAAAGACAACAGCTTTGGGAAATTTCAAATTGGAAACGTTTTTCAGTTTTTGGGTTAAGAAAACAAACAAAATAAAATCAAAGGCTGCGACTTTATTTTATTCTCCCCACTAGTTTGTGTCCGAGAGAGAGAGAGAGAGAGAGATAAAGGGTCGATAAGGTCTTTTCCGTTTCCTTGACCCTCTTGGATTTCGATTTCGATTTCCTCATCTCATCGATTTGCTTCTCAATCTCTCTAATTCATATCTCCTCGGGAAATTTCAATCCTTTTTTTTTCTCCTTGGTGATTTCTAAGATAATTAATATCGAGAAGAAGAATTTTGGGAGAGAAACCATCCATCCATCCATCGATGGCCGCTATGAGCGACAAGGAAGCTATGGTGGATCCTTTTTTGGTCGAGGCTCTTCAGAACCCTCGTCATCGTCTCACCAGTAAGTCAATTCTCTTGCAAGCCCTTTATATTCCAAGTTAATTTTTTTTTATCTTTGTTGGATTTGATCTGAATTATGGTTATTTACTCGTCTATAGAGTTCTTTATTGACTTGTTGAATCTCGAATTGGAGGTCCTGTTTAGGGTTTTTTGTCGATTTCTTAAGGAATTAGGGTTTGGCTTTTGTACTTGATGATTAGATCCATGGCTCTACCATTAGCTCAATTTAGCTGAATTAAGAATGCAATTGCTCTGATTAGAAGACTCTTATGTTCATTTTGTTCTCTCTTTGTATCTATAAGCATCATGGTCAATGGATGATAATGTTCCTTATTTATTTTTCTTTTCTTGGTATGCTAGTTTTGCGTATGGAGCTCGATATACAGAAGTTCTTTCAAAGTCCAGAGCAGCAACAATATGAGTTCCAGCCTTTGCCTACATCTTATCTTCGTCTTATTGCTCACCGTGTTGCTCAGCATTACGGGCTGTTTACAACGGCTTTAGACGGTGGTGGTGTTGATGGCTCAGGGAACAGAATCTTGGCGACCAAAACGGCGGAAAGTAGATACCCGTATGTCTGTTTGTCTGAGATTCCTGTTAAGCAACCTGAGATTCATGGCAAGCCTGAGGGTTTCAAAATCGCCATCAAGCCTAGACCCAATAGAGGATCTGGTGGGAGTGGTAGTGGATCAGGAGTTGAAAAGAATCTTTTGAGAAGCGTTGAGGAGAGGAAAGAAGAGTATGATAGAGCTCGGGCTCGTATCTTCAATAGCCCTAGCAGTTCAGACTCCGAAGATTCTTCAACACGAGCTCCTCCTCCTCCCCCTCCTCGTCTCGACTCAAAACATAATAGTACATGTCCGAGTAGAAATGAGTCCGAAGTGGTGATTAATCATAATAGTAATCCTGTTGATGTAGAGAGGAATGGTGTTTTCAGAGACTCAGGACGTACTTCTCGGGTTGCCATTATTAGAGATAGAGAGAAGGATCGTTATGATCCTGATTATGACCGTAACAGGTTAAACTAATCCCTCCGTTGCCTCTAATAATAATAACAGCCTTTACGCCATAGTTTCTTCATCAAATTTAATGGATTTAGCGGTGTTGCAGGTATGTGAGGGTTGCGCCACCGGTACAAAACTTCAATCCGATACCAATTCCGCTTCAGTTCCATGACGCAATTTTCCCACAGACGCCAAGAACTCAAGCCAGCATAAACTATGGACATCCCTTAAACCCAGCAATGACGGCACCTTCTTATACAGAGTGGCCTAGTGCCACTATGACTTATGCACAAACATTGAATGCGTCAGACACACATCATTTCAGGTTAATTTCACTCTTAAGAAACTTTCTTCATGTTCTCTGTTAAACGCTCAAGTCTCTTGCATTGACCATTGTGCTGTCTTTTTCTTTTGCGGTTGCAGGCACCCGAATCCTTGACCTTTTGTCGTGTTCAGCACAATGTCTTGTATCCAAACAGGTTTTATTGATGTAGCTTTAGATTTTCTGCTCTTGTTGCAAACATTGGCCACTCTTATCACAAGACATTATAATATTATTATTATCAAGCTTTTGCAGTGAAATCCAAAATCTGCAAGCGTTCGTTCCCTTTTGTACTAGGTACTCTAAATGGGTCTGCCTGTAAAGCTTATGGCCCATTTAGGGTAGATAGTTGTGGAAATTTTTCTTGTTCGTATGGGTCAACATAGAAAACAGAGTCAACGTATTTCCAAAATTCAGATAAAAAAAATTATCTTTGATTCTTCTGATTGAATGCACTTAAGAGTTCATGTTCAGGTACACTACACTGGTTTACCAACAATGATATAAATTTTATTCAACCATTTCTAAAATAGTAGTTTGAAATCTGCCTTGTTATTTACTAATGGGATTCATAAATTTTCCAACAAAAATACTAGTAATAATTCGAAGGACTTTTTATAAGGGTATGACTTTTATAGAAACAGATCAGAAACAAACATGCCAGCTAATGAACCCACCATCATGGGATGGCTTTTAATTGATCCCTCCCCAACCCAACAAATAATAACCTATAGTTTCCTTTATCAAGACGATTATGATTATACTATTTTCAAAATAATAAATAACTAATAGAAAAAAATCTTGATTGGGTTTGGTCCCATAACTGATTCTACGTACATGAATAAAAAGTTAATTAAATAAATAAGGTATGATTAAGGATATGAGAGCATCAGATCCTGGGATTCAATTTCTGACTGGCACGGTCTAGTCCTTGCTTTTTGGCTGTTTCATGTTCTTTGTACACTGTACTAATGAATATTCATGTAATATTCAACTATACATAAATGGATTTGGCCATTTGGGTCTTGACTTTTAGAAGAGGAAGAGAATTTTTAGTACCTGCAAATACTTTTATGATGTTCAGTGTAAAGTTACAAACAACTTTTAAGAACAAATATGAACCCATAAGAAAAGAAAAAAAAAAAACAAGAAAGTAGTTGTGTAATCAAATCTAAACAAGTGAAAAAGATCACTTCTTTTTATGCAGTTCAGGATTTTACAGAGTAAACTCAATCTTTAAAAGGAGACCAAATGTTCCTCAAGATTGTATTGTAGACACACTTTGAAACATTGAAGATCTGGTCACAAAAGCAAGGACCAAAAAAAAGCAGAACTCGGATTGTGAATGTTTACTATAATTCAATCGTCTCGAGTTGGAAACAGAGTCAAGACAGTTTTGGCTCCTGAATCCAAATCTTGAGTGTAATTAGCCACTTGACTATGCAAATGCAATGAAGATGGTCTGAAAACTGGTTGCTGTAGTTGACTCTGCTGCCTAGCCAAGAACATTGCTTGGTCGGTAGCTTTGGTCGGAGAAGTGAAATTAACGGCGGACATTTGTCGGTGGAGGAACTGAGACGGTGGTGCTGCGATATGTTGCTGCTGAGTTGAAATTGGGACCAAAGAGGGTATGAAAAGGTCAGAGCTTTGTCTACTTGTCTGATGGAGGAAATGTGGAGGAACAGGTGAGCTAGCGAAGAGATGATCGGAATCACCTCCGCCGCCTCCACCGCCGCCGGATTGCATTCTTTTGAGGTAAAGTCTGTATTTTTGCAAATGGCTAGCGACGTTTTCTCTGGTTAAACCATCGACGCTCATAAGCTGCATGATGGTTTTAGGAACCGCGTTTTTTATCCCGAGATGAGCCACCGCGTCTACGAAACGTTTGTGTAGCTGCGGCGTCCATACTAAACGCGGTCGTTTTAGCGTTCTTGCTGGTTCGTCTCCGGTGGAGTCTCCAGCGAATTCGGTTGAGGAATTGGGTTGTGGCGGCGTGGTTTGGGGTAGAGGTTGACCGGAGTTTGAGTTGTCGCGGTGGAGATCGAAGGCGATGGCGAGATCAGGAGTGATTAAAGATTGAGATAAAGGAATGAGTTCCTCCGGCGACGGAAGCTCTTCTTCCCATTTAGCAAACCAATTGGAATCTTCTTCTCTCATCCTCAACACTAACAAAAAAACACAAATCTTGAATCTCAACTTCGGAGTCTTGATCTCACAAGAAATTAATATGGTGAAGATGAGGAACAAAAATTATTATTGATTTTGAGGCAAAGACTTGTGAAGAGACTTGAGAAGATTCTTGTATATTTAATTGTTGTTATCTGTTTTTTGTTTGTTTGTTTGAGATTGAGATTGAGAGTGATCATTAGATTCGACCGACGCCTACTTTGGCGCGTGGTCTCCACTTGATTTTTAGTGTCTTTTACTAATTAACTTTCTGCAAAATTCTTTGATTCTCTTTCTTACATATATGATATACAAATTTACATTTCGAAATTTGGGAAGTTTTTTATATTACTTGGTTTGGAATTTTCTCATGTGATTATTAGAAGTTTAGAACCATTTGATTAGTTACTCAAATCCGTTTACTAGATGTTTTTTTTTTTTCACACATGTCAATATGAAGGACAACCGGAATGATGGCGTACGATTATGGAAAAGGTTCAAATTAAGAGTGTATGTGAATGGCGTACGATTGTCTCGGTTTGGTCTCGAAGTCTCAGATATACGTGTACCTACCAAAGGAAGAAATTTATATATGAACAATTCAATTCAAGAAAGTAGAATAAAAAAAAATAACAAAAAAGGAGTAATTAATGGATTATATTGATAGATCATAATTACATACAAGAGTAGATGAGGCGTCGCCAGAATCCAAGATTGCAGTGACTACGAAACAAGTTAGGTTTCAAAGCTATGAAAATTTATTTTACTTGAGTAGTTGAGTTGATCATTCGTTTTCTTTTTATAGTTAAAGATGGGTTATTGGCTGTTCAATCGCAGACAAATAGGTTCACTTGAAATACTGGACATACTAATCTCTATACTATTAAAAGAGAAGTACAAATGAAAATGGGTCGGGTTAAAATCAGAAAATTGATCCGAAATTCTGAAATCGGATCTTTGAATTTTTTTTGGAATATAAATTCGAATTAATAATGAAAAATCGAAATAAAATCAAATATTTATGGAAATCAAATAAAATCTGATTGTACTTATGGTAACTAATAATAAAAGCATATTCCGAACAATATTATACATTAATTACGTATAATAAATTTGTTCATATATTTTGGGACTAATTCCATAACAATCAACGTTTTTATCATTAATTTCGCTCATTTTAGCCAATTATCATTAATTAAAAGATATTTTATTTGCTTCTAAAGTTTCTAGAAAATTTATCACAATAACCCATCTGTTTTATAAATTAAATTGATATTTTTATTTTGGTCGTGTAAATTAAATAGATATTTTTATTTTGGTCGTGTAAATTAAATAGATATGAAATCCATGTAACTAATTTTAATTTAATTAGATTAAATCAAAATTATGATATTTTCATACCTATAGCTTACCAAAGAAGTTTAATTTTCAATTTATAAAGATTTATTGAATATGATTTTAGAATTATTCAACAAGATGATAAATATTTATTAAATTTTGTGAATCATGAAAAATAATAATTAATTTTTAATCATTATACTTCATCTTTCAATCTCTCATCTAACAAATAAGATACATATTCTATTATTACTATGTCCAAACTTCATTTTGTTGTATGACTAAATAATATTCCTATTAGAACTGTCAAAGCGAGTTGATTCGTCCCGTTAAGTCCGTTTTGCGATAGACAAAAAATATTTTGACTTGTAGTTAGCCGGTCCGCACGACCCGCGGGTAGCATATATGAAATACAAACCCGTTCCGCGAATGTATGCGGATTTGCGGGATTGTCCATGGATTTTGTTTAAATAATTTTAAAGTAACCAAAATTTAAAATACTACTAAAATAAATAAATAACTAAAAATACTATTAAAAGTTTGTTTAAATTACCACATGTTGAATAAATTATAATTTTATCAATAAATACTAATATGCGGGCTGATCCGCCAACCCGCGAATGAAAACCGATTAAACCTATGACCCACTGCGAATTAATCCATGTGGCCCGCTTATTTGCGGGTTTAATATATTTTCCCAAATCTGCCCCATAGTGAGATGATGTGGGCTCGACCCGCGGTTTTTGACCTATTTTGACTGCTTTAATTCCCATGAATCGTCTAATTTTAGAATTTTAAAACACAAAATTCTATTTTGTAAATCATAATAAATACGATGGGTATATTTATAAACAATTTTACATTTTCTCTACAATTCGTTATTATGAATATTTATAAGTATACTACACAATTCGTTCTACTAAAAAACACACACAATATTAAACGCAACGTATGTAAACCAATATTCTCCCGCGGTGGACCGCGGATCCGATCCTAGTTGTTGTAGTAATGTGACTTCACAATACTTGGAATACACAAAAACATTATATCTATACTAGTATAATCGCAGCACTTTTTGTGACGGGTGGGTAAAAAAGCTTTTGGGTATATCGGATATCCGACCCATTTTAAAAATTCCTTCACAAAAAATTTGTTGGGTCGGGTTATATTTAACCCAACTCATACACCGGATATTCCATATTTAATAATTTAGATTTTTAGAAGATTTGATTAAGATTTATAATTATGATTCTCCTATCATCTTTGTTTGATTTGTTTTTAACTGTTTTGAATCATCATATAATACATATAGTAAAAAAAAAATCAATTTTTTTTCTGCATATACTGTGATTCGAAATTTAAAAAACGGACATATATTATCCAATTGACGAAAATGTGTGTTCAACGTTCTACATCGATTAAAATATTTAGACAATGATTCAGAATCATATCATAAATAAGAACATTAATAAAATAAATGAGTTTTTTGGCGGGACGGGTTTTTGAATCAACAATAATAAAAAGATTAAAATATCATTAATCCGCCGCTTCAATACGGATTTAATCCTTTTTTTTTAATACAAATCACAGGACGGGTTAAGAAATTACGGAACGGGTTATATTTCGGAAATGATTTATATGGCGGACGAATTTGAATCAATAATTATATACCGCTTTAATACGGGTTAAATCCTCAGTTTATTAATAATTATCTCGTGGACTCGTGGTATACCGTTACTTAATAACAATTGTAAACTATAATATAAATAAATATGTTATAAGGAGATACAATTTACAAAATATTTTTATACTAACTTTAAAATTAAATCATCCCATGGTATACCGCGGGTTAAAATATAGTGAGTTAGTAAAATTCCGTCGACGGCTCGGAAGATTAGGACCATATGGGCCTTAGAGTCCAGACCAGAACTAAATTCAGACCTAAATCCCTAAATCTGTAAAAACATCTTCAAAGGGTTATCGTCTCTCGCTCTTGTCAAACAAATTCTCTCCATGGACGAATCCGCCGACAAGGTAATCTTCTTCTTACCCTTATGGCTTTTCTGATTCACTCTATAATTATGGTTTCTTACAAAAGTTTGTAAGAAAAAAATACTTAACTTGGTAGAGTTTCTGATTACATCTCTGTACTTTTAGGGACTGATTCTGATTGGTGAGGGTAGTATCATTCCAAAACTCAGGTAAAATTAAAATTTTGTTGTGCAAGATGCTGCATGTCTTCAATTGTCACGTTGATATATAGTATAACCAAATTATTGCAGTGACGTTGGGAGGATTATTGTTTCGGGATATGACACTGATCTTCCTATTGATGATGTTGAGACGGCGTTGAGAAATCATTTCTCTTGTTGTGGAATTATCACGAATATTTGTATTCCCTTTGTCTGTTTTGGGGATGAGACTCTCAGGAGGTTTTGTGGCTTCTTCTTGCTCCATTTTTTTCCAACTCATCAGCTCAAGTTTAAATATTGCTAACTAAAAAAAACTTGTTGTTGTTGTTTCACAGACGTGGTTATATTTATTTTCTGGGAGAAGGCGCAGTAGATAAGGCGTTGCAACTTAATGGAGTTGACGTTGGAGGATGGAATGTCTCTGTTAAGGCTTATCCGTTTCCCAAAGACGCAAACAAGTAAACACTGAATTTTGTTAAAAATAAGATTTGTATCTTATTATGTGTTCTTTTCCATGTGTGATATTAATAATGTATATCATCTCCTGCAATATTCTATTTTTGCAGTGAGGTTTTTATAGAAGTTGAAGGATTTGACACTTCGCTTCATGAGATACTTATCGAGAGCGCTTTGATTTCTCATTTCTCTTCATATGGAAAGCTCAAAGATGTCATGTTCTTCGACGGGTTTGTGGCTTCTTCCTTCCATTTTTTCCCAACTTTCAGGTTATTAAAGTCAATCTCTAATGCCTAAAAGACTTTCCTTTGTTGTTTTTTACAGCATAGCTGTAGCGTATCTTTACGGAAAAGACGTAGCAGATAAGGTGACTGAACTTAATGGGAGCAACATGGGAGGACGCATATTAGATGTTCGCGTGACTTCTAAACCGGGAATTACCCTTTTCCACAGATACCTCCGCTGCGGCCCCTCCTGCGTGCACCGAGGTCCGAGGTACAGAAATTTCTTCTTGATTCTGTTTTTTTTTTTTTTTTTGGTCAAACGATTCTTGATAACAAACTAGATAACTTTTGTGGTTTGTTTTAGAATCGGATAGCTCTACCACTGATGCAGCCATTCCAAAAAGCAGGTAAATTTATTGATTTTTTTTTTGTTTTAATCTTAAAATTGCTTGGTCCTAATTAAAAGCCACACATATAGCATGGCTTTATAGCTTTTCACCCTCATATTGAATCAGTAGTTAGTTTCCATACTAACTTTTAGATAACATTATAATAAGCGATAGTTTATTCTCTGATTTGTTGTGGTTCGAAGAAGATAATCTGATTTTCTGACAAACTTTTCCATTCACTTTTGTAACCTATACCCACCATTCAAATATTGTAAAAATTTAGCTTGGCTTTATTCAAATGCTCTTTTTAAAACAATGAATAGAAGTCAGCTTGAGGATTTTGGCTTCTTGACTTCAACCCATCTTTTTCGTGTAAACTGAATTTTATTTAAGGACTTTGGTTCTTGTGGGATGGTCAAAAGTATTCATGTCATTTGTGAGAAATTTCAGTAAGTGGATTTATGATTTTGTTATTCGATATTGGCTCTATCTAATTGACTACTTTTCTCATTCAATTGGTCTCTGTCTAATTGACATCACAAAACCATCTGTTCGCCTTAAACTGAATGTTATTTAAGTATATTTGTTATTGGTATTTGATATTATTAGGTCTCTCATAAATATGTCTTTATGAGTGTACATTTTTGTTTCAGTCTCATTGTTGAAGATAAATCTTCCAAGAAGAAGAAGAAGAAGAAAAGTAAGTTAAGTGATGTTTCTTTCAAACTCAAGTCTCAGAAGAAGGGATAATAAAGTTAAGGGATAGTCTCACTGTTGAAGACTTAATATGTTCGTTAAAACTTCTCTGTAAGGAAGCTTTCCTAAGATTTGAATCCATGATGGGGTTTTTTAGGTGTGTTTTACCTTTGTTGTTTTCCTCTTCCAGACACCTTTTCCTGACTTATTTACACTTGATTAAAAAATAATCATTTTGTGGAATAAAACTTGAAGTACCTTTTGCTTTTGGTATTGAGTATATTCGAATTATCTGTCTATCATACATAATATTCTCGTAACAATTTTAGTAAACGTATATGTAGATGGAACTCTGTAAGAGGAAAATTATACACCAGGTAATGGAAGTAAAGTCTTAAACCTGATGTTTTGTCAAGTGGGGATTATCATATTTTGGTCCCGTATCTACATATACATTTTTACAGTACTTTTTTGCTTTAATTCTTTTGGATCCGGGTTTGACCCGGTTTTAGTCTATTCGGATCTTGGATAAGCAATTTTAGGGATGTTGTCTTAATTTCAAACTAATAAATAAAGCCTTTATTAATTTCAAACTGAAAAAATTTATGGCAATATTAAAACGAAATTAATTCCTTTATTAATTCATATTTGTTAATTTCCTTAACTTCTCCCCACACCTAATTATTAATTTTCTTTAAGAGAATATGCGTATAACAAAACAAATAAGTTACCTATTTTAATGGTAAATAATCTTATTTGTTATATATATATATGATATCTCTAAACTAACCATATTTGTTATTTACCTTAACAACTTCTAACCATAATTATCTAACTACCTATTTTTATATAGAAAGAATATGTGATTAAAATAAATAGTTTGTAAATATTAATTTGGGGACAAATTCTTACGAAAATAATTTGTTTTGTTATAAAATTTAATGTTTGTTATTTTTCTAAATTATTTTTGAAACTAAATTACATAAATACTAATAATAATTTGTCTACACCATAAAATGAAAATAGTTATTTATTTTAAATTTTTATATAATATTACGTAATTTGTTTTAGTTATATTTTCTGATATAGGTGAACAAATTATTTTCGTATTTATGAAAATTATAAAATCTAAATTAGTTTAAAATTTGAAATAACTATAATCCTAAATTTTAATCTTTATGGGTAGGTTTTTTTTTGTGACCAAAAATATTCAATTGGATCTTTCTTTAAATTTTGGCAATATCCAAAACGAAATTAATTTATAAACTCTAAAAATATCTATATTTTTAACTATTTCTATATCTAAACTCTTTATTTATGACATATATTCTTCACGATTTTTACAGAAAAATATATAAAATATGATGAGTTAATGCTAATTAACAAATTTGAGCTAATTTTTTACAATCTCTCGACCTAATTTAAACAGAATTATATAATTCTCATTTCACTTTTATTTGATGTTATATTTATATTATTTTGAATTATTATAAAATAAATGTAGTTAATAAATTGGGTATTTTTGATAGAAATAATGATAATCGGATATATGAGTATTTTTGACAGCAAAAATAAGAAACCTTACCGGACTTGTATGGTAACTTCTATGTAAATTATTCAATTTAAAATCGAATATTAAATCAACAAATACAATTCCGAAGTATATGGTAACTTCTTCGTTATTTAGGGAAAAAATTTCGCTAAAATATATAGAATCTTCTAATTATCAGATTAACCATCAAATATTCTCTACGATCTTGAACTATGGAAAGTCATAAAGTTGGTTTACTGCAAAATTATAAAAATCGCGAAAGCGCAAATCAAATATGTTAAGATCTTTAACGATAGAAACTAAAATTAATTTCGTTTAGATATTCTGATGCGATTAACTATAGCATATCTACGCTAATTACTTATAGAATATTTGCAGAATATGTTTTTCTTAAAACCCTAATAAAGCAACCTAATTCTAAACATTATAAATATAGGCTCTGCTATTCGGCAAATCATTTTTCATTCATCCACACAAACTTCTCTCAGCATCTATGCTTCAGTTTTTGAGCAATCTAATTTTTATTTTTCATTGTGTATTCTCTATTTTCTATTAATGATGTTATGTTTCTACGATTTTAATTCTTTTTTTTTGTTTTGATATCTCAACATCTATGCTTCAGTTTTTGAGCAATCTAATTTTTATTTTCATTGTGTATTCTCTATTTTCTATTAATGATGTAATGTTTCTACGATTTTAATTCTTTTTTTTGTTTTGATATCTGTTTAATACAAACGCGTGCGGCGTGTCTAAGTATATGTTTTCCTAAAAACATAGTATTTTCCTTACCCCTAAAACATTCATTACCAAGATTTCAAAATTCCATTTTACCGCTAAATCATAATTAATATGACAGATTTTTATTGTAAACAATTTATCATTTTTTCATACACTACACAATTTTCTCTACTAAAAATATACAATATTAAAATCAATGTCACAACATGTAAAATTAATATTTCCAGCGGTATACCGCGGGCTCTCAACCTGAAAAAGAAAAATTAATTTTATTATTTAGTAAAATTATAGGCCCGCGGTGTACCGCGTGTTAATTTCTAGTGTTTTGTTAATAAAATATAACTAACCTAATGATATAGAAACTAAGCAAAACTAAAGAAGGGATTAAAAGCGACTCACTTAGCATATCAAGCAAGAACCATATGTAAAAGGATCACATATAGGGTACCTCTCATAGCGACTCAGCCATGAGAAACCAACAATCACCGTGGACAGCAATTAACTGGAGCCAATGGTCATGTCACACTGCATACCATCTCTGGCGAAGTTGATTCCGAGCACTAGCTGGGGAAGATTTGGAGGCAGGACCATCCACTGGATAATTAATTTCCTATGTCCCATTCGAGTGTGTGTATGTACACACACAAATTCACTATTTATAACAACACAACAAACATAATGTACAGAGTGAGAATTGATCAACATCTGGTAAAACAAGCAAGAAGAAGAAACAAGAGATGCAAGAAAAAAGAAGAACAAGTACAACATTTTTTGCTGTCTCGAAATATCAAAAAGAGCTAAAAGCAAGAGCACAAATCAATAAAACAAACAAATTGATTATCTTTCTAATCTCCCCTTTGAAATATATTTGGTGACTATCATCGACTAAACCAAAAAGAAAGACCAAATGTCTCGAAGCTAACTGTGTTGTCACTGCCCAGTATCAGGCTAAAAAAGCTTGAGAAGTAACAACTCTCGAAACCAGTTAGATTCGCGGGTATCTTCTAGACTTTTGTCTTTGTTCTTCGACTTCTTTCATCCAATCAGAAAGCCACAAGAGTCCCTTATAACCATAGTATGAAACAGCGGCTCCCATTGCCATTAACATCACGGCCATCAGTATCCTCTTCGTGAACGACAGCAAGTTTCTGCAGAGAAGAAAAAAAAAAAAAAAACAGATGGTGTCTTTAAGTAGATGACAAAACATATGAGACATGTGGCTTCTCCGATTTTTTTTGTTTTAAAAGACAGAAATTACCTGCAGCCTTGTGGTCTCCTGAATGTCCTGACTCCTGACCCCGTTCACGCCTTTTCCATGCCAATTTATCCAACAAGTTTTAACACACCTTCAAATTGACGAAAAATGACATAAGGCGAACAATCCAACAAACTTGTACCACAACACATGAGTTAAGAATCATGCTCTTACTATTGTGTTTACATATAATTTATTCTAATATTTTTAAAATAGTCAAAAATCTTATTTTGTGACAATATATCTTTCTATTATTTCAGGGATAAATAGATTTTATTTACAATATTTACAGTAAACTATTATATGATTAAAAAACTATAATAGTAAAATTACATGTCAAAGTATGGTTTGCACAAAAATTTCACTAGACCTAGGATGAACTACTTGTTTCAAGGTGCATGAACTAAGGATTATGGGATCATTTATCCTTAGTTGGGATCATTTTAAACTATAATGTGGAAGTTTACCTAATATTTTGTTTATTGACTTTCATTTTTATAAGAAAAAACAAAACTTTTGTTATAATAAACATTAAAAGTTTCAAATAAACCACAAAACGATAGCGTATTAAAAATCATTTAAACTTCACATCAATTTCTATCTTTTTCTCTCTCTTTAGATTAAAAAATAAATAAATTTAATGGTCTAATGACATTTTCTTTGATAAATATCATTCTTAACATTGAGATCACGAGATGACATTGCCCTATGGGCTAGTTTGCGACCAACATATACATAGGTACAAAGAAAATAAATTGAAAACTAAATATTTTTGGTAAACTGGTACTCTTCGTTTCATATATTGGAATCAACCTTTGTAATTGAATGATATTTTTGAAGATCAAAAGATTAATACAATGAAAAACTGCAAAATCGAAATAATCGTGATTAGTAAAATTCACGTGACGGTAATCAATGAAAATTTGTAAACGAATGTGTTCTTAATTTTCTGCAATCGCTAGAGATAATCTCTAGTATTTTAAACACATGGAGTTGGGATTCGAGATCTTCACTTTTTTTTTCTTCTTATAATTGACCAAAGATCTTGAATAGTAGGCCATATTAGATATTTATAGAATGTTCATTATAGCCATATTAAATATGCAATCTAATCAAAACACAAAATATGCAAGGTGGGAGAATTAATTTAGGGAAAATTGGATATAAAGGATAAATAATTAAATTATCGTTCATCTATGCATTCTATATTCCTAATTGGTCATATATGCTTTAAAATTGGTCATATATGCTTTGATATAATTAAAATCCCATTTATATCCCCAGTTTTTTTTATTAAATCTTGCTAAACTATAACATTCCAAAATTAATTAGATTATTTTCTAAAAATGATTTGGAGAAAATATATGACAAAAATAATATTTAATTACTTTCTATTTTTTTTTTGCCGTAGATAATTTCAAATCTTCTTCCGCTTTAATTCTTTTTTTTTACGGCATCTTCTTCTTCTATTTTTTTACGGCAACTTCTTCTTTGATTTTCTCTTTTGGGACTGCCCATCGATATGTTGGACGATGTCAACATATACATGCACATCAAAGGCCTGTAGATGATCTACGGGAAATAACATTTGCTCATGTGTTCATGACCGAATGGCAAAGTATGAACCTCCACAGCTAGATTCTAATATAATAGAGATTGAGTGAAAAACAAAAACACAATGATTTATGCAACCTTTTTACATGTCAATTCACTTTTACGTTAGTCACTTTCAAATATTACGCCTATAGTAAACCACAATTTTCCACAAATGTGGTACTTTTGTTAGTTTATAATTGAGTTTGGTTATATTACGTATTTTGTATTTTGTGTAAGTAGAGCAACACGTTTCACTCATGTTACGATTTTTCACGAAAAAGTTGTGTAGTTTCGTAATCTTAACTTTTTATATTCGATTTCCATATTTTATAATTTATTTTCCTTTTTGAAAAATCATTCTAAATTACATAGAATTTGATTTCTATTTTTTGTAGAATATATAGAAAAATATAAGAATGTGTTTTCTAACAATTTTAGAACATGGGTAAATGTTAGAAAACATATTCTAATTTTTCTAGAAGAAAGAGCAAAGTATAGAATATGTATTCTAAATTTCGTAGAATTTAGCATTCTAAATACCGTAGAACAGAAATGCGTTCTAAATTTTCTAGAACATGTAGAGTGCATAGAATACATTATCTAGATTTTATAGAACATGTACAATATATAGAATACACATTCTAAATTCAGAAGGCATAGTCTAAATTTCGTAGATCATATTTTATTCATCCAAAACGGTAACAAAAACGATATATTTTTGATTTTATAAGTATCCCCATGACTTCTTTATCATTTGCCTACAAACTATTTTGAATTTTATTTGAAAAATTGGTTATATTAATTACAAAGGGTATATTAGGAATATGTGACATTTGAATATAGAATGCATAGATGGACAATAGTTTAATTATTTGTCCTTTATATCCAATTTTCCCATTAATTTATTACCTCAACCAACATTCATTTTCTACTCAAAAGAAAAAAGAATCTCACAAACAAACAAATGTCTAACAAATTTCAATCTATTGGCCAAAACTGAAACAACCTAAGTTGATATATATCATTAATGATAATATGATTATGATTTGATCATTTAGCCAAATGCTACCAAAATAAATACAAGCACTTTTATTAAGTGTACTTAAATTCCTTGATTAGGGTTGTGTTTTTTTATTAATCTAGCATCTAAATTGTTGGCCTAAGCTTGAAGTTACTTGAACAATAAGTTATCTTTGAGAGAGATTAGGAAAAGTACTATTTAGGAGTTATCTAAATATGTAAGTTTTACTTTTGAGAATTGGAAAACTCTTCTCTATATAAGAAGATGCTAAGGTGTAGCATAACTTATGAGTTTTGAGAATAGAGATTGAGTGCTTAGGTTTTGAGTTATTATCCTAAGTGATTAATAAAGAGAGTTATTCTTTGTTGATCTTTGTGTTCTTAAAGCTTTTGTTAAACTATATTTGGTATCAGAGCATTAACGTGAAAGAGATTCATCATGTCTGACGATGAAGACGAGAAGCCGACCGTAAAAGCAACGTCAAAGGAGATCGGATCCTCTGCCATAAAGTGTCCGATGCTCACCTCTTCTAATTATACTTATTGGGCTATGAGGATGCAAGTTGCTCTTAGGGTTAACAAGGTATGGAACACCATAGATCCGGGGGACCTAGATGAGGAGAAGAACGATGTGGCAATAGCTTTATTGTTCCAATCTATACCAGAGGCCTTGACTTTACAAGTTGGAAAACACACCACTGCTAAAGCAACTTGGGATGCAATAAAAGGAAAACACGTTGGAGCTGAGAGAATTAGAGAGGCTAGGTTACAAACTTTGATGGCGGAATTTGATAGAATCAAGATGAAGGAGACAGATTCAATTGATGCTTTTGTAGAGAAACTTTCGGAGATCTCTTCTACAGCAGCAACACTTGGAGAAACCATTGAAGAACCAAAGCTTGTGAAAAAATTCCTCAAAAGTTTGCCTCGGAAAAAATACATCCATATCATCGCAGCTCTTGAACAAGTTCTTAATTTGAACAAAACGACTTTCGAAGACATTGTTGGACGTTTAAAAGTGTATGAAGAGAGGATTGTTGATGAAGATGAAGAGAAACAAGAGGATCATAATAAGCTGATGTATGCAAATTCAGACTCACAAGCATCTTATACTGAAGGATACAGAGGAAGAGGCAGAGGAGGTCGGTTTAATTGGCGAGGTAGAGGCCGCGGACGTTTTAACAACTATCAAAACGGTTCATACAGACAAAGGGAAAGAGATGCGTCAATGATAACGTGTTATCGATGTGATAAACTAGGGCATTATGCATCAGATTGTCCCGATAGACTGCTTAAGTTACAAGAAACTGTTGAAAAAAAGGATGAAGCAACACAAGAAGCTGATGAACTAATGATGCATGAGGTGGTTTATCTTAATGAAAATAAAGTAAAACCAAGCTGTTTTGAAGCCGATCTAGACACAAAAAATGTATGGTACCTTGATAATGGTGCAAGCAACCATATGTGTGGCAATAGGTCTTTCTTTTTAGATCTTGATGATACAGTCATGGGAAAGGTGCGTTTTGGAGATGATTCTCGCATTGATATCAAAGGTAAAGGGTCAATTCAGTTCGTATTTGGAGATGGAAAGGGAAAGGTGCTTAAAATTTTGAAGAATGTATACTTTATACCGGATCTGAAGAGCAATATTGTTAGCCTTGGTCAAGCGACAGAAGCAGGGTGTGAAGTGCGAATGAAAGAAGATTTTTTAACTCTTTATGATCGGTCTGGACATGTGCTGGTGAAGACAACAAGGTCCAAGAATCGTCTATACAAGGTCATACTAGAAGTTGAAAATCTCAAATGCCTACAATTGATGTCACCAACCGAGTCAACTATGTGGCATTCACGGCTTGGACACACTAACTTGGAAACAATGAAGATGATGATTAACAAAGAATTGGTAACAGGTATACCAAAGTTCACAGTTGAGAAAGAAACGTGTGTGTCATGTCTACTTGGGAAGCAAACGAGGAAGCCCTTTCCGCAAGCAACTTCTTATCGAGCAAGTCAAAATCTTGAACTCATTCATGGAGATCTATGTGGGCCGATTACACCTTCCACTCCGGCTAAAAAGAGGTATGTTTTCGTACTCATTGACGATCATTCACGTTATATGTGGACAGTTCTCTTAAGAGAAAAGAGTGAGGCATTTGAAAAATTCAAAAGGTTCAAAGCAATTGTTGAGCAAGAAATAGGAGCAACAATCAAGACACTGCGAACAGATAGGGGAGGAGAATTCGTGTCAAAAGAGTTTCAAGCTTATTGTGATGAACATGGCATCCAAAGACATTTGACTGCACCCTACTCTCCTCAGCAAAATGGTGTTGTTGAAAGACGAAATAGAACTCTTTTGGAGATGACTAGAAGTATTCTTAAACACATGAGCTTGCCAAATTCTTTATGGGGAGAGGCTGTGAGACACGCCACCTATTTGATTAATAG